ACCCACTACGTGGTATGCGTATATATGGTTTTACGGATATCTCTAGGAAGCAGAGAAGTGAAAGATGGGATCAGTGGGTACAGGGGTCTAGTGATACATGCGTGAAGAGGAACTACACGAGAGACAAGCACCACAGGAGGATGAAGGATGTATTATTTTTAAGGGCAAGGGAAGCTACCCCCATTACTTGAGGAATAGCTTTTAGTTGAACTGAAATGGCTTTTATGGTGCGAACTTAGCAAAGACAGGCAGGGGCTTGGCAGTGTTGGCAGTTTTAAAACCCAAGTGAGATCACGTGATAATAACCAGGTAAGATTATGTAATCTGACCCGACTTTTCTTACATAATAGCACAGTCTTTTATAATCTTACCTGGCTTTTCTTACATAATATTTTATATTTAGTTAGAAGCTAATTCTATGGTGTACCATTAATTTACATAGAAGGGGTTCATTTTTTGGCGGTCGTCAAAAACAGTCTACTTGTATTACCTGAGTGGAGGGTGCCAGATTCTGGCGGTCGGTAAAATTTATCCTTACTGACCTTATTCTATAGGTAAATTTTGCTAATAAGGCATACCACATATATTATTTAATACCGTAGTGATCTTAGTGATATTGGTGATTTTGGTGATTCTAGTAATCTTGGTGATGGAGATGCTCTTGGGGATCTTGGTGGTGGCGTGGGTTCTTTCGGCGGCGGTGACGGCTGACGTTGAAATTGGTGGAAGAAGTGGGGCGGGGGCATGCCATGGGGGATCGGAGGGAACTGATGGCCGTAAGGGGGAAAGTAAGCAGGGCCTCCGTGCGGACCCCCGTGCGGACTTCCATGGGGACCGCCGGGGGGCATGCCGTAAGGAACCATATCCACAGGGCCAAACTGAGCGGGGGAGAATTGAGGGTGGGGGTGACCAGGCAGCGGATGGGCATGTGGGCTTCTGGGCGGAGGGCTTTCACTCTCATCCCGTGGGGCGGGTGGCGGACGAGATTGGCTCCGCGTACGGCGATGGTGGTGAACGTGATGACGTTGGAGGGGGATAGGCTGTTGGTGCATTTGGTGGTCCTGGCCGTTGAAGAAAGGCGGCGGCATCGGGTGATTCTGTGCTCGCGGATGCGGTGGGAATGGAGGTGGCCCGTAGGGATAATGATGCTGCTGGATCGGGGGATAATGGCCCATATGGCCATGCATGCCGTTCATATGGCCCATATGTCCCAGCTGTACCAATTGATTCGACGGCATCCCCGGATGCCCGGCGTGTCCTGGCTGCATCACTCCGTGTGGCATAATCCCTTGTGGGGGGTATGGATTGTATGAAGGCGCCGAGACGGAACTCCGGGCATAGCCTCCGGGGGGAGCGGGAGCATGGGGAGCCCAGTACTGGCTTTCAGGCGGACGTCTAGGTGGAGGATAATCGTAATCGTCGCCAGAGTCGACACTCTCCGCCGGCGATGCAGGCGCGGGGGGGGTGATGGTGTCTCCTCGACCGAAGCGCGACAGGTTCACGTTCCTGGGGCACATGTCGGCGGGAAGGAATGACGGCGGCTGGGCACTGATCGACTACTGTATCCACATTGCGATGATGATGATCGAGGTTCTTGTCTGGAGGCCGAATCGTAGCTCAATCATCGGGGAAGCTCAAATGATCCAACTCCCACCGACCTCGTAGTGGTTATAATGGCCATGACTACTTGTTGCCGAGGCCGGGGAGACTTGGACGCCGGTGCCGCTGGACAGTTCCTCGTCGTCGGTTAAGGAGGAATGGTCGGAGCCATGGGAGGTAGCATGATCTATAGTGATGTTTAACCTAAAGGGAGCCAAGGGAGATAAATGTGAGCTAGGCCCTTACCCATGCGACGTTGTTTTCTTTTTTCTTTCCTTTTCATTTCGAAAATTGATTTGTGTTTCTGCGGGCATCAAGGGAGAAGATATAATTACAGTGAGTAGTAAACAGAGGGGAGGGTCGCAGACTTCAACAGATAGCAAGAAACATTTTTGCGCGAAGGATCCAACTTGGGTGACGGGGGAAAAACAAATAAACAAGAAAAAAAAAAAAAAAAGAGCGAAGTAAATATAACAAAAAAGAGACAACAACTCACGGCATGTGGAATGTAGGAAATATCCGGTCCAAGCTTTTTCCCCACAGAGAAAAAGGCCTGGGCTAGATAAATCTCTGTGCGACGGGCGACCGCTTTGTGTAACAGCGGGGCCCAAGGAGTCCAGGACAGGCGGTGCCGACAGGGAAAGGCGAGGTCAGCGTTTCAGGGAATCCAGGGCGCGGGTATCAGTCTCTGCGCGAACGAGCAAGATTGCCACTAAGAAAGCCACCGGATCAACGGGCTGGAAATCGAGCTTCATAGAGGGACAGCGATCGAAGAGAAGGGCGAGCGTGAATTGGGAATCAGTGAGCTGGGCTCGGAGAAAGAAAACAAAGGAATAGAATAACTACTGGTACATTCGCAAGGGTTAGTTAACAGTTTGTATTAACGATCATAACTTGTAGCAGTCGTAGTAGTGGTTGTAGATAGTGTACATGAAATAGCCAAAAATGGAACGGACTGGAATACAGTGTATGGCGGAACTTAGGAACATCAGAAACAAAAATAAAAGCAACAGAAGATAGAGTTCTTTGTATTTATATCTGTACGAAGATGCATGCTGCTGGTGGGGGTGGAAGCAGACAGAAAAGCGACCACACACACACGCGCGGCGACTTGGGGCCGAGTTGGTGCCCAATCTTGCTCAAAGGATCTCTCACAGCCTGGATGTGGATGGAAAGCGGAAACAGTTATTTATAAAAGACTGGCCCAGGAACGGGGAGCCAGGACAAAGACGAGCGCAGGTAGTCTATCGCCATCCATCTCGACCCCTTCAAGTTGGTTACTTACCTTGCTAACTACCGGCGGCGGCAGTTCTGGCGGAGTAGGATAGTAGCAGAATAGTAGCTTTTTTGCTTCAAGCCCTCGTTGTGTTTTGTTTTGTGCTAGTCATGGATCCCGAAGGGCTAGGTAACTAGGCTTCCTAGAATCTGCTGAAGAAAAAGATATAGTAAGAGATAGCAGCAGAGAGCAGTCAACGAGACATCGAGAACTAGTTAGTTCTTGAGGATAAACAATGAAACCAGATGGAGCACAACAGCAACCGGAATAGTTTTATCCTCCAGTTAGTTGACTGCCTGATCTCTCTGTTGGTTTATTTAGGGCACCAACAGGGAAAATATATTCAACCAATACGGGCGGGCAATTTCCCACGCAGCAAGGCCCCAGCCAGGGTCCCAGCCAGGGCTAAGCGCCGGATTCGACGCAGAAGCTCACTCGATATAGTTACGGACAGCGAGATGCGTAAATCAGGGCTAGCTTCCATTGCTTGGACCTCATCCCCCGCTGCCATTCATTGTGAGGCTGTTCTGCAGCTAGCTGCATTTCAACGTGGTCTGGAGATCGAGATCTAGAACCGCTATCAGTAATCTGCACAGAGAAGAGAGAAGCAACGGCAGTGGGTGTGTCTTGAACCTGACAGGAGGAGTCTGCGCGGACGTGAATGGTGGCCTTCTCCCAGAAGAACGAGTAGTGTTACTTGAGCCAGACCGCCGCAGCTCAACTCGGCGCGGATTGCTGGCCTGATGAGGACGAATATAAAAATGGTAAATATGGTAAAATGGTAAAAATGTAGTCTGTCCACGTACGGTCCATGCAATGTACCGCCCGCCTCACTTTGGGGTCCCTCGCTCACTGGTGGCTGCGTGGTCAGTGACCTGCGGGGTACATCCAGAGTACCTGCGCCCGCGTCCTTTTGTCTAGTTACGCACACGGCGCTCATGGTGAGGCAGACAACAGTGCGCACTGCGATCCAACCCTGTGTGTGGAGAGCAGTTGGGCTTCCTGTTGCTCCCGCTGTGGCTGGCCGTGGGTGACGGCGCGATGTCTGTACCACGGGGAGCGAAGATTAGCACCGCAATTGTGTTTTCTTGTAAAGGCATTCATGTAGAATTTTCATCCATGGCTGCAAATACTTCTATATTCTGCATCTGGATCAGCAGCAGGCCTGTGTGTGGGGATTCAGCTACAAAAAAAATACCCCCGTACAAATGCAAAATACTGCAGATTATACAAGAAAGATCGCCAGAGCATAGGCCTATGCCCCGTCATGCAACAATACAGCCGGGCGTCTCCCTCCATTCAATGGGCCTCGCACCCTCTCGATATTTATTATATCGCCTCTCCCCCAGTGTTCCCAGTGCTTCCAGCCTGTAGCAAACTGCCCATCGTTTGGCCGACTTGCCATCGCCCAACCTTTTTTTTCCGTCAGCAACATAAAAAGCTATCCCGAATCGGCCTCCTACATACGTATATCATACATGCCGCAGGACATCGTACACACATCGTACACCCCCGCCCTCTGCCGTGTCTAGCTCATTTTTTATTTTTATTTTTTTTTTATACCTGTAGTTAGTCAGTCAATCACGTACGACCACACCTCTCAGCTAAATAGTAAAGTGAGAGGGGACGGTGGAAACTGCCGTTTCGTTTTCCTTCCTACCCCTATCGGCATCCCCCAACCAGTATGAGTTTTGTTTCCCCAGACCTCTAGAACCAACACTTAGGGTTACAGCCCACGCAATGAACTGTCAAGACGCGAGACTCAGGCAGGAAGGGGAGATCTAACCCCCACCGGATCCCAAGAAGATAGGCAGCCAGGCAACTGTTCCAATACGCTTAAGGGGGGCTGCAATCCAATGGTGAGCGTCGTTGAGGGCATGGGAGACGTGGACTGTGACTGGCATTGTCAGTTGTCACTGCAGTGTGATGCGTTGAATGCAATTTCTCATTTGTTGTTGTCGCAGTGAGGGAGCGACAGAGCGAAGCCATATCTGCTACATATGGCATACGCGCAGCCGAAACAGGAAGGTTGAGGTTGACGAGAAAATGGTAAAAATGGAGGACTGAATGAGGATCCGATGTATGCCCTACGGCAGCATTTTTTTCGCACCACATCATCCGGCTCAGTAGAGTTCCCGCGCGCAGAGCCTTCCGCCACGGAAAATCAACCCTCGGACCAGATATATCATCAAAATGTCCCGAGGTCGCAAAGGGAACAACGAGTCAAGTCCTGGCAAGCTGGAAATCGAAAATCGAAATCAAATCCAAGACCAAAATCCAAAAGGGAGGCTGATTGATAAGACAGGTCCTGCCCGCCGTCTCGTGTCCTGTACGTAGTTCCCGGGAGCCAAACTCACACAAACATGCACGGAGCATCATTTCCCGAAAAATCTGACTTATGCGGCTTGATGTTACCGCTTTCTAGCACGATCTGCCCCTAGAACAGCCACCAGCCAGTTCGGCCAACCTGGCAACTTGTCCCAATCGCGATTGGAAATGGACGCGGAATTAGAAGGCAAATTAAACAATTCGTCCAGCTTGGGTCGGGCAGTTGTGTTTGTGTGGCTGCATCACTCGTAAACCCCTCCCTCAATTCACCCATTGGGAGTCAGCATGGTATGTAGAAGCGGTGAGAAAAGAGAGGGATGAAAAATACTTTGCCATATAAAAAAAAAAAAAAAAGAGAGAAAATCAACCAGCCAAATCAATCCTTTTTGCATGCATATACATTCATGCACATCATGAATCCCCTGGCTCCCTTTCGAATTTCACAGAGTTGGACAGGCAACCAAAAGCCCCACCTAGTTTTCATGTCCTAGTCGTCTGTCCCACATGGGAAGAGACGGGAAGAAGAAGGCAGCAGGAGCAAAAATAATATATAATGTCAACCTGCTTGGTGCCACGTCGCTCTTCCTGCCCAATCTAAGTTGCGCTAGTCGCAAGGCACCTTTGAGGACCCAATCGAACGAAGAGAAGCTCCATATCCAAATGAGAGAAATTCAATATAAAGCGTAAACAAACGTTACGGAGTTATTGTATGAAATTTGAGCGGTTTGGATTGCGTTTAATTGAGGCTGAATAACAAGGAAAAAGGAAAAATAAAATGGAAACAATAAAATTATAATGAACATGTAAAATTAGATGCGTTTGATAAAAACAAGAATGTAGATGACATGATGAAGCTTTTTCATGACAAAGGGGAGAAGGATTTGATCTGGCATCAAAGAGTGTCGGTTTATATTGGTACAATTCCGTCGTCCCTTGTGAGTTGCTTACCAATGGTGGATAGGAATCTAAAATCATTCATTGTCGCAATGTTCCGATGCTTCCAGCCATTTAATTGCAGGCGAGCAAGTCCTCTAGGGTTGCAGCAAGTAGAAAGTGGGTAGTCGGCGGCTGGATCATGTCAAGGATCATAGTGGTCTGAGGGTATGGATAGGGCCAACTTTGAGAAGCTCCAAGTGCCACACGCAGCATGTGGTTGGTTGGAAGAATATAAGGGAGAGATGAATAAGGATATACGATGTGGGACACAAGGCCATCAGTACTCTTTTATTTTCTTACTTGGCCTCTCGGTCAAGCAATTCTTGGGCCGCAGTTAGCTCGCTCTGGTTCATCTCCCGACACCTGATATCGGCTGATCTTGAATGTACAATCTCGTGTAACTTTTTAGTCGACAGGGTCTGCAGTTTCGTGAGTGTCTCTTGCGTGGGCAGATTGTGATCACCCCCCTTGGGTTGGGTAGCGGCCTTTGTCGATAGCTTATCCAACAGGCGGCTCGTACTCTGGCGGCTGTGAGTTAGCACGGCAGGGACCATACGAAATCGAGTCCAAGCAAGAATTAAAGGAATCCTTACCAATTTAAGTCCATAATAGCCGCGAAGGTAATCATCGCACAGCTCAATGCTTCGGCAAAACCGGCGGACGCTATCGGCCAGTAGTCTCACTGTCATCTCTTGGCTGTCCGATGAAGTCGATGAAATGTACTCTACTTCACCCAGCCTTGCATGAAGCTGTAAGGAAAAGATTAGCTTCTGGCCTCCCGGCACAAGTTCCTCGTTAATTTCGCAATTTAAGAGACAATGTCTTACGTTCCACGCATTTGGTGCCACCAAAAGAGCCTCTTCCAAACAAAAGATAGCCTGCATACTCATTCCCTGGGCTTGGTAGAGATCGGCAAGTTCACACCACGCTTCTGCATCCGTCGGGAATACATCGAGAAAATCTACTAGGGCAGATATCGCATCCACTGGCCGCGACATAGATCGTAAGAGTCCAATGCGTCGTTTTAAAATTGGCTAGATCCAGACATTAATTTCAATTTCAATTTCAATGCTTCGAGGCATCGCACAATCAGGATAATTAGGAGTATACGAACCACGTTCACTGGGTTCTCCTTGAGCACTTTTTCGTAACCTGTAAGGATTTCTTCGAGGGCATCTCGATCCTTTGCAAGCGCCTCCTCGTAGACGCCCTTGAGAGCCATAATGCGTTCATTGGCAGGCCCAAAGCGTTTTGATAGCCGCTCCAAGCATTGGCGCGCAGAATCGTCATCCCCCGTCCTCACGCAAGCCAGAAATAGTTGTTCGTATGTTAACCATAGTTCGGGGGTCTCTGAAGTTGTGAACATAGAAAAAGGGAACGAAGGTTGTTGCGCAGGGTGGCTTGCTAGGAACGATGGAGTGTGTTGTGAGAGTTGTAGGACAGCGCGTGGATCGGGGGAGTTCAACGCCATCTGTAAATCTGGAGGCAAGGAGGTAGCCATTACCGCTTCGTAAAGGACTGGAATGTTAGTCCACAATAACTCCATCATGATTGAGTGATCCCACATTGCCTGTTTTCTGCAAGGGGTTGTGTAACGCTCACCTCACAATCAAAATGGATACCAGTAACTAGCTATCCTCCAGCTGTTGTATACTAGTATGTTTGGATGCGAGGCGATGTATAGATTAACAAATATACAATATGTAGAATTCCGAAGACGAGACAGATGTCGATCGGGAGGAATGAAGGTGGTTGGACAAGCGTTGCCGGAGTTCAAGCGGGAGTTGAAGTCGGAGATGCGCGCTTTGGCCTTATTGTTTAATTCTTCGTTAGCGAACCCCGTGATGGTGATGTCAACGCTGCAATTGGAATCCGGAGCCGCCAAACCGCCAACTTCACCCAAGCAAACCGACTTCGATCTTCGATACTCTCCCCCCCCCCCCACCCCCCCCCAAAAAGGCTCAACAGCCGGGGAGATTGGGTGCGGGCACCTCTTGGTTCGCTTAAATACTGGGGGCTTGGCAAACCCAACATACATTTCTTAACTAGCATTTATTTACTACGATTTATCTTGACTTCAACCATGTCCTCCTCCCGTTCACATCCCACCTCCAAGTTTCGATAGCAGGCCCAGGCACCTCATGCCTACAGCACCGGGCGAAGGCTAGATATTTAGACTCTGTATTCCGGAGTGATTGTTCTCGAGTTCCGGGCGGTTTCATAGTTCATACCTTCCAATAACCATGTCTGATAACTCCCAGCGCCCCCGCCAAATGAGCCATGGAGAAGAGCCCATTGAAACTAACATTTAATGCAAGGTTCGAAAAGTCGCTTTACGACCTCATCCGAGGTCTGCGGAATCACAAGGGGAGTGAGGTCGAATATATACAAAACAGCATTAAGGAGTGTCGGGTTGAGGTGAAGTCGCAGGATATGGGTTTGTTGACGCAGATCTACTCATCTACCCTTTAACGAAAACGAGCACCAGGGTTGACTGTTTCCAAAAGATAAAAAGGCAACTGCTCTCCTGAAATTAATATACCTGGAAATGTTTGGATACGATATGTCTTGGGCTGCGTTCCACGTACTTGAAGTCATGTCTTCGGCGAAATATCCGCTGAAGCGCGTCGGCTATCTAGGAGCAGTGCAGAGCTTTCGTCCAGATACAGAGGTTCTCATGTTAGCTACCAATCTATTAAAGAAGGTAGTAGGCAATGACATGCATGATATTCGCTTAAGTATAGAGAAATATGTATCTGACCCCCTTACTCATTATCTAGGATATGGTGTCTCCTGCGGTTTCGACGATGTCATTACCTCTCCTGACACTGCCACATATAATATCTCCTTCCCTTGGGTTGTCTTTGTTGACAGATGTACTACCCCGCCTGTCTCATTCGAATCCTGCTGTCCGAAAGAAAGCGGTGGTCAACCTGTACAGGATATCGCTAGTCTACCCAGAAGCCTTTAGGATTGCTTGGCCAAAAATCAAGGAGCGCTTGATGGATGATCAAGAGGATAGCAGCGTTACTGCAGCCGTCATCAATGTTGTCTGTGAACTGGGCTGGAGACGGCCTCAAGACTTCCTTCCACTTGCTCCCCGACTATTTGACCTTTTAGTTGATGGCGGGAATAATTGGATGGCCATCAAAATCATCAAATTGGTAAGCATTTCGCGCGCTCGTATTTTCACGTCACGGGCGCCGTAGCTAAATCTAGTATCTAGTTTGCAACATTGACACCACTGGAACCACGGCTGGTTCGGAAGCTCCTCCGCCCTTTGCTTAATATCATCCAAACAACTACAGCAATGTCTTTGCTTTACGAATGTATAAATGGAGTAATCCAAGGGGGCATCCTGGAGAACGCGGATGGTGTGCGCGAAGGAGAGGAGATCGCCAATCTCTGCGTGGAGAAACTTCGAGGCATGATTGTCATGGAAGGAGATCCCAACTGTAAGATCTTTTCTTCCGTTCCAGAAATAATTGCTGTCTGACACTTTACAGTAAAATACGTTGCGCTTCTTGCATTTAACAGGATTGTGGCTTCGCACGCGACATTGGTCGCCATGCAACAAGATGTCATCATGGATTGTTTGGATGACAACGATATTTCCATCCGGTTACAGGCGCTCGAGCTCGTATGCGGCATGGTGACTAGCGACTCCTTACATACAGTTGTGACAAGGCTAATTACCCAACTCCAAACGTCCCCGGCGACAATGGACGACGCTCACGTTAGCTCTACCATGCCCGATGGGTTAACTCCCTCAGCCGATATTGATGGAGACGATCCAGAGGAGCAGCTGCATTCAACCCACAAGAGAAATGAATCAGTTCTCGCCTTGCCTAACCACTACCGTAACGAAGTTCTTCACCGAATACTGGATATCTGCTCACGGGATACATATTCGTCGATTGTGGACTTTGAATGGTACGTTGAGGTGCTTGTGCAGTTGGTCCGCCTTGTACCGCCACGCACAGCTGCGGGCTCGTCGGAATTCCAGTCTCAGAAAGGTGGCGTTGCAGTTCGGATTGGATACGAACTTCGCAACGTCGCTGTGCGGGTAAAAAGCGTGAGACCCGAAGCCACTCGAGCTGCAGAATCGTTGGTATTGATGGATAATCGAGCGATTCTGTTCCCCGCCGCCAGTGCTGTGGGTGCCGATATACTCGAATTTTGTGCCTGGATAGTTGGGGAATATGCAGAATACCTAGAGGTCCCTGATCGCACATTCACGTCCTTGATTCATCCCTCCAATATTTCCCTACCGAGCGCTGTTTTGTCGTCCTATCTTCAGGCCATACCAAAGGTCTTTATTTCTCTGACGACGAAGTTTCAAGGCTGGGATTCTTCGAGACAAAGCGAGGTTTCACTTCTGCTAGCACGAGTCACTGACTTTCTAGAGAAGCTATCATCTCACCCTGACTTGGATGTTCAGGAACGCGCTATTGAATTTCTCGAACTCCTCCGTCTCACTGCAGAGGCTATCTTATCGCAGGACGCCGATTGCACTGATGCTCCACTTCTCCTGTCATCAGCGATTCCGAGCTTATTCACTGGTCTTGAACTTAATCCTGTCGCTGTGGGTGCTCAGGCGAAAGTTCCTCTTCCAGAGAATCTCGACTTAGACAAGCCTTTAAACGACAGACTCCACCACATTCTCAAAGAATCAGAGAACGACTGGTTGGGTGCATCCGATCAAGGTGACCTCCGAGACTTTTACTACACCCCCGAGACCGCCAGTACGAAACTTCAGTCCTACACCAAAGAATCCACAATACCCAACACCATGCAGCCATCCTACCAAAATATGCCTGACGATTTTGCCGAAAAAGCCGAAGCCAAAGACCGCCGACGAGCTGAGCGCAGGGATCGAAACAGAGACGATCCATTCTACATTGCATACGAGGAGGGGTCGTCGGGAACTTCAACTCCCTTCCACCAAGTCCTTCGCACATCCAATGGCGAGGAACTGGATATCGATTCCATCCCCATCATTGACCTAGCGATCGAAAGCAGTGAAACGACAACGTCGCAATCAGCAACGAGGGTAGGAGAGAGACCACCTAAAAAAGCCCATTCAAAGCGCAAAAAAGTGGAAATACTGGGTGACGAAACAATAACCATCACCGACGAGCGCGCTGCATCCACGGCAGGCGTCACAAAGACTACGGCGACTACGGGAAAACCCAAAATTAAACGCTCGCTGCTGGAAGTTGATTCGAGCGGGTTATCTAGTCTTTCTCTCGAAGAGCCTAGCTGGCCAGGAGGACCAGGGCCAGCAGCGCCGGCCCTGAGTATACACGATATCGAACGCCGGGAAGCGGAGGAGGCGGAGATGGCCACGGCGATGCGGGAGATTGAGAGGTTGAGGTTAGAGATGCAGCGGGCAGCAGAGCGGGTGCAGGCGCCTGGTGTGCCACCGGAGGGGACACTTGTTAAGCGAAAGAAGAAGAAGAAGAAGAAGAAGAAGGATCAGGATGATCCGGAGGCGAAGGAGGCAAAGGCTCAGATGAAAACGAAGAAGCGACAGGGTAAGGAAGGCGGTGTAGGTAGTAACAGATCCCTGACACCAAGCGCCACAGCTACTGGCGGTACCAACGATCCTGCAATAAGTAGTAGCGAAGTGGGCGGAGGCGGGATAGAAGTCGAAGTGAAACGGAAGAAAAAGAAGCAAACGTCGTCATCTTCTAAGAAAAAGAAAGATACTGCTTCTGCTTCTGCTTCTGCTGCTGTTGCTGCTGCTGCTGCTGCTGCCGCCGGTCCGAGTGCTGGTGTTGATGAGGATCTATCAGGTTTGGGGGGTGGCATATAATATTATAAATATACGGGGTACTTTATGTATGTATCAGATATATGGACACGCATAAATGGACGACCTACATGATAGGCAAGGGCCAAGCATTCCATCTGCTACCTGGAGTAAATGGTTGTGGTCTAGTCAAAACTAGCGGCAATACTCTTGCTGAATATATAGTAAAAGCATTGTAGCAGGATGACACTCCTTTCGCCGATTTTACATGGAGAACATAAATAGAGAGATCGACAGACAGACAATTGATAAATAATTGGGACAGATTCAAGATGAACTACTAACACAGGTATGTAATTAAAAAAAAAAAAAAAAAAAAAAAAAAAATAATAATAATAATAATAATAATAATGCAACGCCGGTCATTTTCTCCATATTTCAGCTAGACTGAACAAAGCATCAAGGAAGAATGACGACATATAAGCCTAGATGAAGATGTTAATACAGATAGTAGGAAAGACAACAGAATCTAGGAAGAACGGGGGGAAATGGAGAATAGGCACGGATGCAAATAGAAATGGAATGCATAGGAGTCTGTACTCCAGGGAAGTCAGGTATAAGACATAATACAGACTACGACACGGCGGATTTCGCAAAAATTAGGGCTAAAAGAGAACGCGCCTCATGGGCGACGGGCGAGCTGGGCGGCAGTAGAGAGTCGATGTATCGGTGCGGGAAGACCAGGCGAGGCAGGCGATTTCCACGCTTTGAGAAAAGAGCAGCCGATTCAAAGCGTAAAGAAGAATAATATTTCAATCATTCCCATTTCTCTCTTTTTTTCCTTTTTCCTCCTCTTTTTTCCTTTTACGCGTTAACCCGTCCACTTCGACACAAATGCCCAAATGACCGCCCATAGTTCCGGGACAACCCTCGCGAGCTCGAACAGCATTCCACCACACACGACGAAGGCGAGGACGACTACCGTAACAACCACCGATATGTATCAGTAATGACTTCCTATACCCGAATATATACGTGCAGAAGCAAAACGTACCAACCCAGCCAAGAGGTACTGGCGACTTTGGTTTCTGCTTCTTCGACTTCACACCGGTCTCTGGTTTGCCGCGCTTTGCAGCCTCGAGTTTGGCAAAGCGCTCATTTGCTCGACGCTGTTGAGGGGTTTGTGCCTAGATATCATTTTCAGTACTACTACTACTTGGTTGGTTGTAGATAATTAAAAGGCGAACACGGCCGCATACCATTGTGAGGGTGATAATACGAAGTGATGAACACACGGAAGAGGAAGAAGAAAGCGAAGAATATATATATCCTTATGGTAAAAACGGGCGAGGAAGCGGGAGAGAGAAGAAGTCCAGCAAATTGATCGAGTCGTTAAGAGATCAAATGATATCCGCCTGCGATGCGGCCAGCTGTCCTTCAGGAGCTAGGTATTTATTTAGGCTGGCCTGGCTAAGGGGCGGCGTGGGAACAACAGCGGCGCGGAGAAGAAGACGTACGAAGGTGGAGACAGCAATCGCCGGGTGGGAGAGATGATGGATCTTGGGATAAACGGATCCTGCTGCGCTGCAGTATAGATAAGTATATAAGTAAAATATAGCTATAACTATACTATGTAATAATACAAACGAATAACTAGATAAATAAATAAATACATTAAATAAATAACAAAATGTTGTAACTAACTAACTATCGCAAGCGAAATTGGGCGATGATGGGATTACCTAATCAGGCTACAGTCTTGGCGATGATGTCAAGGCAATCACATGACTCCCCGCCGAGGCCAACATCTTCAAACTTCGTCAAATCTCAGTCGCTCGCCACCATAATATCCGGCCTGTGTCCTGCTGCAGGAGTGTGATCGCCATGCCGACAAACGGGAATGCAGCTGTCGACGGAGATGAGTCCCCCGAGGCTTGTCTCGCCCAGGTAAATATCAGCCCCACATACTCGCTATTGGTGCCTGCTCACATCTTCACAGGCGTTCAAAGATATCGCAGAGTCTGTACTCCCCCGTCGCATTTAAACACTCCACTTCGGATAATGCATGGTCGTCATATCTATCTGATAACTAGAAACTCAAACAAAAATCTAAACTAATGCATACTTATGGGTATAACAGCGGTGAAAGAGCAGCCTCAGCCCTCGAGGACCATCTCGCCAGTCTGGAGGAGAAGATAGAAAGTCTCCTGGCTGCCGTTGAATCGTCAGGAAATTCCGATGCTACTCGTGGCATTCCACAAACATTCTCCAACCCCGAAAACCAGACAGGTACTGGAGACAACACAGGCAACAACACAAACAACACGCGGGGCACCGAATGATGTCGTCCTCGATCAGAAAATCCGCTCCAGATGAAACACCCCGCTTCCGTCCTTCTCAACCACCCCGACCTCCGTGATAATCCCATCGACAAGTGCCGCAGGCGTAACATCAAACGCCGGGTTCCACACGCCAATCCCGTCAGCTGCAACCGTGATAGTTTCCATCGCCCCAAGTCCATTTCCTTCCTCTCCATCCCGCGGCCCCCGAATCCTGGTGACCTCCTTCTCGGGCCGTTCTTCAATAACGATATCCGCACCGGTCTTCGTATTCATATCGATGGTCGTCCGCGGCGCCGCGACGAGGAACTTGACTCCGTGGTATTTCGCCAGCACGGCCAGGCCGTATGTCCCGATCTTGTTGGCCGTGTCGCCGTTGGCGGCCACACGGTCTGCTCCGACGATTATGGCGCTTACGCCCACACTTTGAGCTGGGCCTGCGCTCTGGCGCGCGAGGAGGGCCGCGGCCATGCTGTCTGTGATGAGAGTGGCGGGGATATTGTCGTGGACGAGCTCGAATGCGGTGAGGCGGGAGCCCTGGTTGTACGGGCGGGTTTCTGTGCAGTAGGCACGCTCGAGGGACCCAGTGGCGTGTAGGGAGCGAATGACGCCTAGGGCTGTGCCGTAGCCGGCTGTAGCGAGGGAGCTGTAAGATATTTAATATACTATTAGCAATGCATTGCAACGCATTTCACAACTGCTAGAACCAATACGTCCCTCCATATCAACATAATATTAACATACCCAGTATTACAATGCGTCAACACCGCAACCTTCGCTTGCCCCGTCCCCGATATAGACCCTTTAGTGATTGCATGTTCCAGCACCCATTTTGCCCCAGACTCCCCAATGGCCCTATTATCCCTTACATCATCGTCCAACATCCTCTCCGCAGCCTCGATATACGCCTCCGCTACCTCATTCCCACCAACACCCTGCACTTGCGCTCTACCGTTAACAATCCGGCCCAACCTCCCCGCCGCCTCTGCCAAATTCACCGCCGTCGGCCGGCTACTGACCAGAAACTCCAACTTCTCCAGGATAAGCTGTCCAACGTCCTTGGGTTCCGCGGATAGCTGATTACTGGTCGCTAACGTATGGAGCTCTACGGCGAGGGAGAGGGCAGCCACGATGGCGATGGCCGGTGCTCCACGGACGCGCATTTCGTGAATGGCGTGCCAGGCATCGCGCGCGGAGTGGAGAGGGTCATAAGTGGTCTGGTGGGGGAGGAGGAGCTGGTTGAGGATGTGCAGGGAGCCGCGAGTGTAGGTGATGGCGACAAGGGTCATGGTAGTGTGCTTTTTGTCTTTACTTCTTTTGCCTTTTTTTATTTTGCAAAGAGCGTGGTGGATATATGTACAAGTTGGTGCTTGTTATGAGGGCTGATACTTCGTTGCACACCCTTGCGTGGCGGGGTTTGGTTGATGGCCACAACGAAAACCCTATGCTCACCAACCCTAGCCGCCAAAGAGGCCGTAGAACGTGCGTATTTAAAACACAGGGATCAAAGGGACGGAGGCAAATGTCCAAACTTTCCACTTGCCAAATTGGGTGCGCCTGTAAAGCATAGAAACAATCAACCATGCAAATTGCATTGGAGTCTGTTAAAAAAACAAATATCAAAGAAACCCATTCGCAAAGCGACGAAGACAAAGGACAACCCTATTTTATTTACTCCCCCGTTCCGGGACACCGTGGGTAGGCAAGGTATGTAGGAAGAGCGTTACACCTCGCATCCCTCATCCGCACGAAACAGATCAGCAGCAGCAACAACTACTACAACAACGTATATTTATCAAGTTAGACAAATACCCCATTTCCTCACAGCTGTATGCCGTTATACACAACATGGACATTACAAAGCTGAGCTTTGTGTCGCGGCAAGGAGGAAAGAAAGGGAATGAGGGAGGTGATTTGTCTGTCTGTACTCTCGCAGCTTCTCTAGTATAATATATCATGATCATTTCGTAAAGCTATTCCCCTCTCCGGAATATGAAACGAAGCGGAAATAACTATGAGGGTTGATTGTTTAATCAGCTGAGATATAGAGGACTGAAGGAGAAAACGAGCAGTTAGCAGGAGAGCATATCAAAGAGATAAACGGTCAAGGAGACAAGAAGAGAGAGAGAAGAGAAGATATTAATACCATTATTCCCCCTCACAAAAGCATCGCCATAACTCCGTCTCAGTTTTCCATCAACGTATTCCTCAGTCTTCTCCAGCGCGATATTCATATAGCCATCGACAGACTGTAGCTCTCCTAAACCACAATACAGCAGGTAAGCAGACTGCAATATATATAAGCACCAGCGTGATAGAAAACATATCAAACCTTTGTAGACCACGCCCGAATTCAGCTTGACCGTGACGGGGGCACCAGTGATTTCGCTGAGGAATGCGGAGGGATCTTTGCCCTCAGAGGCAGAGCCGTTTTCCATGGCAGGGGGGGGTATATTTATACACTGTATATGTCCGTGGGGAAGCTAAATAGCCCGATGGTAATATATGGAACTGCAGAATGAAGAAACCAAAGGTGACCCGGTACGTGTTTTGAATTTAGTTAGTTACCCAGATATTTAAAGATTGTGTTCGTGGTTGAATCGGGTCCAGGGTTGTTTCTCTCTTGGCGGCTATTTATTTATGAGTGGGAGTTCATTGATTATTTATTTAAACATCCAGTTAAATATTCAGTTAAATATTGTGACCAGAGAGAGCGCTTTCTTCCAATACCACACTCTCTCCACTGCTATCTCGGCATAAATACATCCGCTTGCGATATGGCTCAGTGAGGACCTTTTTCTTCCCGTAACATCACCCGTTCCTCGAAGCGCTTCTGGATTAATTCTTGTATCACTGACAAATCTACCAACAGAATATCTATTCGAATCCGCGAGAAGGCCGGAGACAATAAATATGCGATCCTTCTTCAAGAAACCAGACTGGGCGAAATCGGGTAGTGGCCCAGGCCAGTCAGCCGAATTTTATCGGCGCTCTGAACAAGTCTACACTGATATTATCTCCAGGGAGCCCGAAGAGGAAGGGGATGAGGATGAGGATGAGGATGAGGATGAAGTAGATGATAAGCAGGGAAACCGAGCTTTACAAGGCCACCGGTCGCAAGAAACACAGTCGAGGGACTCAAAACGGCGGCGCATCTCTCGCGAGGAAAGTGCGCCATCGACTGGTTCTCAAATCTTGGATTCTCATGGACGTGAAAAGCCCGGAGAGGATCTGGGAGATATCAAGCAGATAACACCTGCAGAAGCCATGACACATACGAAAGCCAATAGTCCACCTAAGAAAATGAATAATGAACCACTTCCAGCAGCAACAGCAGCAGCAGTTGTAGAACTGGATTCAGGCTCGGATGAGGATCCTTTACGATTGGATTCAGAAAAAGCGCGAGCCTCTCAGCCACGCAACAAACAGCTATCAAGCCATAATCTTGATGATGACAACGAGGATAGCAATGATGGCTTATATGAAGAAGAGGAGTATGCCCAGTTAGCGCGCAAAGCCCGGGAGCGAGCGCGACAACGACTGGCAGCCTCAGCTAACAACTCTGGATCTGATACGAAAGCAGCACCGGGAGGAACACGAGCAACTCAATCCCTTAACCCCAACCACACAATAACAAAATCCACCGGCAACACCCCAAACAGACAAAGCCAGCGCATGGAGCCCATCGTGAGGATCCTGATAACTTCCGACATACCAAACACCAGTTCGCTCATCGTCCAGCGACGACTGAACCAGGATCTTCGCGACGTGCGCCGAGCTTGGTGTAGCCGGCAAGGCTTCGACGACGACATGACCACTTCCGTCTTTCTGACCTGGAAGGGTAGACGATTATTCGACGTGACGACCTGCAAGAGTTTAGGAGTGCAGCAGGAGAAGGAAAAAGGGCTGCTACAACCACTGCCCATAAGAAACTATTACGATGATGATGACGACGACGACGACGACCGTAATTCCGGCCAGGATGACGGCTCGATAGAAATGCACATGGAAGCCGTGACGGAGAAATTATTTGAAGAGAAGAAACGACAGGCGATCAAGGCATCGCAGCGAACCTCTGGCGGCAGTGATGAAGACGATGACGACGACGACGACGACGACGATGATGATGACAACAAGACGGATGAAGATGGCAAGGATCGAGCAGAATTAGGAGCTCAAGGTAAACAGGCTGTCCTCCTGTTAACACTTAAAGCCCCCGGTATCGAACATCTGAAGATAAGAGTGAACAACAAAACACATATCTCGTCGATCATCAGGAGTTTCCGGGAGAAACGAGGAATTCCTGCCCACTGCGCGGTTGAGTTGCTGTTCGACGGCGCCCAGTTGCATCCGGATTCGGTGGTGGGGGACAATGATATGGCGGACCTTGACGCGATTGATGTTCGTATCAAGTGATCCTGAATGATATAGATATTGTGTGGTATGGGTATCCCAGCTGGTTAATATGTTCTATGGAATGTTTTGTTACCATCTACCTCGACACACATATTTAGTATGGCATAGGATAGAAACGGCTATCTGATTGAATTCCACCTCTCCTCTTGCCTACATACAGGTAATGTGTCAAAACAAATAACCTCATCACAACCCCCTCGATCCTCGATCTGGGGTTATCGGATGATCAGTCAATCCCAGTTTTTCAATGATTGGGTTGGATAAACAACTTCATTAAATGAATCCACATGGAACCGAGATAGTTATTCATTATTTTATAAACTAGAAGTGGGCTAACGACCAGTAATTAGACATTTAAAGTTGATATCAACCATAACCCTGTTCTCCGAAAGCAGCATAAGTCTAGTTAGAGAGCAATCCCCATGTACTCCGATTTGAATCCCCATGAAAATATGCTGCATAGAATCATTCTCAGTAAGGAGGAAATGAGGAAATATGATAGTAATTATAAGGAGGAAGAATCGGCTAACTATCCTGATGGAAAACCCGTCCACCATTTGGAAAACCATGGGAGGAGACGGTCATATACTGTTCACCTAGGCAATCTTCGACAAGGACACCGGACGTGGTGTCATATTCAAGACGGGCAGTATGATATCTTCCAGAGCGCAACATTACACCGGGACGAAGTATGTCATACTCGCCGTTGTCGACAGTTTCGCCAGTCGGATCACGGATCCAGCGGTCCGGATATCCATCCGGATTTGGACGAACAGGTAGAAACAACTACAGCGTCCTGGAGGCCTCGTTCTCCAAAACAATGACGAAAAAATGTTTCCAGTACTGAACTTCCGTAATGGCAATTTCGGATTTCGAGAAGAAGTCAAAGACTAACTAGCTGGAATGCGCCGTCAATTTTATCTGGCTGAAGGTTTGTTGGCGTCAATCTCAGCAGTTTGATCGTCATTTGGACACCAGCAATCGTAGTAGGCCACCCAGTTTCTTATCACTTAATTTAGATATATGGAGAGGGTGGGATTCGAACCCACTATCTTCTTGTCTCAGCAGTGGTGCATACTCGAGAAAGCATTCCATGAACAGCGCTTAACTAGTTATCATGTTACTGTACATGTAATTATCGGAGTCAGAATAGCCAATTCGGACATTATCCAGCTCCGACAACCTCTCTACCTGCTCGATATCCGATTGATTGCTAATAGAATAGAGAATGCTACCTATCTATCTATCTGCGTGATATCCGATCTATCTATTACCAATGGAATATAGAATGCCCGCTGGAGAGCTTAGCTATCATCTACATTCCTTCCTACCTATCAATGTGGTGGGAGAAGCGAAGGCACGTGTAATAACCTATTATTTAGCCGTTTCATTATATTCTAAAATATCAAAACCCACATCCACACGCTTTATTCACGTTCGTATAGAAAAATTTACAAAGTACTAGGAGATAAAGATTGATATATTTGCCTAGGCTGTCAAACTCCAAGCGACCAACATTTCCAGTCTCAGTAATACATGCACAAAGGAAACAATAAGTTACTATATAGATTGATCTATGAATATTACGCCTGCTCCGAATACCTAGGGTCAGAAACTGGTTTGGAATCATGGTCTGGTTCCTTTGCAACCATTGTTGCCGAAAACTCAACAACCTTTTGTATTTGGCCCCTCGGAATGAGTTCCAAATCATCGTCGACCCCTTCTCTACTAGGCACGGTGTGCCCATCCCCTTTTGATATCCAGATGTTTTCCTCAGACGATGACCGTCCGTTGACAATTGAGGTATCCGTCCTCATTCTACCATGAGTGGAGGATCTATGTTGTCGACTATAGTGGTTCTTTCGAGAGGGGGCTGAGCCAATTGTGCACGTGAAATCCCCAGCGTCAGTCCCGTAGATGCGTCCTCGGTCGTGTGGCGTGCGTCCACTGGTGTCTTGCGAGTGGAAGAAGATTCTGTATTTCATCAATAGCGGCTTCAGCGTCACAGCTGATATCGCTATGATGCTAACCCCTATCTCAATCATGGACCAGACCATAATGTCGGCGTTCCCGTAGAGGAAATCTACTTGATCGTATCCATGATGGATATACGTAAGCCGGGCTATTGTTGCAACGCTCGCTCTGTAGTGGAGGTTGTTAGAACCGTTGCAGCTTTGAAGGTATTTCACGGCGGAGGTCAAGCAGAAGCTTACACTGATCCAAATCCAAGCAGAATACCAGCAGATAATTTAGTTCGAGAGTTCAATTGTAATTTCCATATCATCAAGGCGGGCACTATTGCAAGTGTTATGTCACCTGCACAAACCACTGCGCCGTGGGCGTAGCTTCCAGAAACCACCTTGAAATACTGCCGGCAAGTTCCACCCTGATTGTGCTGTCGTACCCTTTCCCAAGCATAACTCACCGGCGAGCATGAGAAGAGCGCGAAAAAGAAGTAGAAAGTTGTGAAAATGACTGTGATTGCACCGACTGCGTATATGGTCCAGACATAGATTCGTCCAACGACAACGACCCGTAACAGAGATAAACAGAAAGAGATCTTGACGAGGCCTGAAGTAATGATATAACACATATCGGCGAGAAAGAAAAACTGTGCTGGCTGTTAACAATGCAATCCTACCAATTCTCTGCGTCGTCACCAAGATTTTCAGATCTGACCTTGACTGCCTCGGTGAATGCATCGAGTGAGGCTACAGCTTTGGTTCGTTTCCCAAGCCCAAAGGACGCAGACCTCATGAGGAAACTTGTAATTGCGGTGAACACGCACTGTATAACAATGAATGGGGTGGTTAGCCACGCACACGAGTCGGCAGTTCACTGCTTTCCCTTCCATGAAATTGACAGTTCTGGACCGTATATATGGACAACGGGTGGGTCATTCTCGGAGGGGGGAGTCTCCCACGTACCAAAGCGATGATCGCAAAGATGTCATCCACACCCCAACGGGTCAGTTTCAGGCGCACATAGCAGCGCAATGCAACGACTATATATGACAGAGAAAGAAAAGAAATGGCGACACCATAGATGACGCAACCTTTGTCCTCCATGTCGGCGGCGATCGCGCCCGTGAAGGAGAATTTCGATGAGGTCAAAGGTGAGTGCTACTGCATCGCTCAAGGGACCAAAGAAAGAGGAAATCGTGAAGAACAAATAAATAGTGTCTGGGGTTCGAGAATCATCCCTGAGATCTTGGCCCAGACTGTGGCCATCCCTCCCTCCCTCGTGGAATTCTGTGGGGTATGGTGTCAAATCCCCTGAATCGCTCTGTATTGGCGGTGCTCGCGAGGGAAGAGAACGTTAGCAGAAACTCTATCAAGCCTTGTAAGCGAATACAGAGAAGGATATTTTAGTGTGGTCATTCTGCCCGGCTGTTTAGCACTGTGACCGGCGCAATGGTGCGGCAGCATGACATCGATTGGCCGTGTTGACCACACCATTCCTCTGCAAAAAAGCGCAAGGTGGACAGGGCGGTTGGAGATAAGCCGAGCAAATGCTTTCCAGAGTCCTCCAGAGTCCTCCAGAGTTCCTCTCTCCCTTGTCTACAGATTCTGTACTCCGTAGTCCGATCTGACTGATTAAAGTTGAACTAGATGAACGAGAAGATGGGATTTCCCGGATCATTTGGCGCTCTGACAACCTCGCTCTCAGAAGCAACAAGGCGCCACTGGTAATCGGCGCTGTCTGGCTGCTTCAGAGAGTCCAAGCCTCCAAGGTTTGTTGTCCCGCAGAGCTGGGTTGTGAAGAGCGCTTGTAGCATTCACATTGACTGTGGCACAGGTTGTTGGTTCATCATTCAAGGAGTCAAGAAGCACTTTTTCAAAGCATCATTAATACTCACTCATGGAGGGAGGCCCTTCGACGCTCTCTTCGAAGCCCAAAGGATAAGGATGTACGGTATGCATTGCATGTACTCCGTACATTACACAGATAGTGCTTTGCGAACACATTTCTGCACAGCCTTTTTGAATATACTCTTGTTAAATAACGCGACTAAAGAACACGGAGGAGCTGTTTACACTTTTGGGGTAAGAATGCAGAGAAAGCGGAATACAGAGTACAGAGTTTGTGGCCACAGAAATCATTTCAGACATGCAGAAACAAAAGTGTATTCGACAGCTAACTCTGAGGATGATGCCGCCGCCGGTTCACATAGCCTGGAATCAGAGTTTTCAAGCCGTGATTTGCGGCAGAGCAGGACGGCCGCGGAGTCCTTCTCTGGACAACGGCCTGCAGCTATCTGGCTAGTGTGCTCCAATGTTTCCGGCGAGAGATTTTTCCATCCTGATGTGCCAACGTTGACTTTTCCAAACCATTCTGCTCAATTGCACCGTAAATACTAAAGTTTGCAGACTCAACAGCCCGCTGTCCAGCCGCAGCTGGAGCCAGACTTCCCCGCACAAGACGACAGAGAACATCGTCCGCAGTCGTCCAAGATTACCTTCAACCTGGAAGGCTGCAATTCGTCTGACTCGATCGGGATTCCACCTTAGTGGCTTTATTCCTCAAGTGGAGTCACCGACCGGCTGAGCTCACCTCTCTGAGGCTCCTCAAATCACTCCGCCGGTCTCCACGTATCCCGGTGGTTTCGTTAGGGGAATGCTTAATGGTCTTTAGTGCTCGCCGCATCAAAACATCAGCGAGAAGTCTGTCGTCGTGATGCTTTTTGGCTTGCAATCTCCAGAGTGCACCAACGTATGATGCTGTGTCGGTTATCAATGGATGATCCAGAAATCTCTTTTTGAAACCCAGAAAGTTGAGAAGAGAAATCTAAATCTAGAGGGCATATTGCATGCAGTATATATCTCCACAATTGAAAAATAAAAATTCTGGTGTGATGATACTGTCAAGTTCTTCAATCCTCATGCTGGCTGCTGGGAGTTGCGGTGTGAGTGCTCACATGCTTGCTGCTGCTCCTTGCCTAGGTATCAGCAGCTAGCTCTCCAACTGTAAGAATTAAGTTAGTTATCAAATTAATTATTAAAAGAGCTTCATGTCTTCAAATATATAAATATATAAATACAATATAAAAACTTAATAAAACTATAATAAAAATATAATATAACGAGAAATACCCGCATCAACCCATTATGTATTTCCCACACAGTACATGTGAAGCGGGCAGGAGTCGAAAGTACAGAAATATGGAGCTCACACAGTGCAGTTATGAGAAGTTGTTCATTTCTTTCTTATGTCACTACTCCGTACATTAAGATCACCCATTTATTCATGTGGCTCGGATGTGCATTATATGATACATCCTAACGTAGTATCTTCTTCATGCACCCGTCGAATATGCAAGTGCTGCCTAAGGAGATCGCAACATTGGTTGTCCGATTGTCAGAAGCGTCTACTCCGTACGCTTCACTGCATGCATTCGACCAATTGTGGCGTAGTGCGGTGGCGCTTAGCATCGAATGATTTCTCAAGGAGGCTCTTCCTGTTGACACAAGAAGATAGCGGGTCTAACCTAACTTCTTCACAATAGAAAATGTTGCAGAGGCATCCTTCTAGCAAAAGAAACCAGTCCCTCCAAGGGGAAAGAAAAGAGAAAACAGAAGCCTAGAACATGCAAGAAACAACCGGCAATATATTACAATACAGCAAGATGTATACCATCAGCAACCATATTTGTGCATGATAGCTCTGAACGAAGGATCTTGCAGAAGCTGTGTTGCAGTCAGACGATTTTCTGGATAATAAACAAGTACACTAGACATTATGGAGTGCACATGTGTTTGCTCAACCGGATCAGCTTCAGGACGAAAGTATGCAATTGTTGATGCAAGATCATGATCAGAATCGTATGTTTTTTGCTGATCATACCAGGAATCAAGGCTTTCAGGGTATATGTAAAGGCCCTTCCACTCCTCAGGTAGTGGACCCAAACATCTAATGATACCAGATATTATTCCACCCTTGAGATGGGTAGGGAAGGGTGGATAGCCAAGATAAAGCTCTGCAAAAAAAAAAAAAGGATCATGTAACTCCACATATCACAGGCGAAACTTGGAAGTTGGACCTTTCCGATGAAGTCGGTCCGGGGAGCAAAATTGCATGGGTGGATAGCCGCGAGGCACAGGGTCGCCAAGTTTCACTGCCAGACCAATCGCCAAGATAGAATTGTTCTGTGCGTAAGTTCTCAGGCATCTTAGCAGGCCCAACAAGCTCTCCCTCCTTCCAGAGGTCGACAAATGGTATGATTTGTTTTAATGGCCGGCCGAGTGCCTTGTATTTAGCACTTCTGCTGAGGTCATGTAGGGGAACCATGCCCCACATACAGTTCCTGTCGGTTAAATCTATCAAATATCCAACAGGAAAGAGAGTATTGGGCAGAGTTCACTCACCGCGGTGTATAATACTAAGTTTGTGTAAATTGTCCAAGGCCTCGAGCAATTGCTTAGCTGCAGACATGCGAGTGGCCATGGGCATATTTCTGAGGATAGAAGGTTGAAGGATGGAAACACTAGAACCCTGTCCTAACACCCATTTCCAGGGAGTAAAAACGTCGTCAAAGATGTCACAAGGTGAGCAGTATCCTGTACATTCTGACGGATTTCACCTTGCATGCGGGCTTCATTTTCTCCCCATTCCCCTAAAGACATGACTTTGAGCGCTACATCCCTGCTATCCTGGAGGTCATGAGCCATCCAGACAGTGGAGAAGCCACCAGAGCCAATTTTATGCTCAACCAGGTATCTCTCATCAAGCACTTCTCCAACACAAATGGGATAGAAGACATATGGAGTTGGAGTTGTCTTCATGTCATACTTATGCCAGGGCTCCACAATCTCTTCAAGGTCGATCTCCTCATCCTCAGTGCTCACGAAGTCGCCAAAGTCCGCCGCGTCATCGCCGTTGGGAACTTGTAGTGCTCCTGCTGGTATCGCCATCACTCAGGAATGTCGCCAATTGAGACGAGTATCTGTCGATGCTAGAGGAGTTAGTCGTTCAGGGCGTAAGGCATGCGTTTTTGTCGCCAAAATGAAAAATGCCGCACAAGTGCTTAACACGACTCGTGGGACAGTCAAAGGAAGATTTGTAACATTTCTCAAAAGGTGGTGGATGTTCGGAGAGAAGTCATCAAAACTCACTTACGAGTTATTGTGGCGGACGTAAAGCTTGCGAAAACAGAATTTTCTGCCACCCCCTGAAAAATAGTAGCAAAACACTGCAAAAATAACCAAAATATCCACGTATCTTTAGAATCATTCAAATATCATTCAATTCATTCAAATATGCACCTTTACTACTGTCTCACAAGCTCATAAAAGAACTTCAACTACCCTGCATCTTCATCTGCTCAAACCACCTGTTTTGAATGTTTTATATAATGACAAAAATCCAATTGATGATGAGAAGAAGAATAAAAAGAAAAAGAAGATACAATCAGAAAATTTTCAATTTCTGCAAACATCTATTTCTAAATTTAAAATCTCATTCAGATTGTATGAATGAGTGATTATTAATGAAATAAAAAAGTCTATAAAAATCAAGTTACAAAATATCACAACAAATGATATGACTGTCAGCTTTTATTGTATTCAATATACTATAAAAAAAATAATTGAAAAGTATGTTATGAAATAGAATTGTAAGAAAATAGAAGTTGTAAATTGTATAACAATCATCTCATTAAATAAACATAAATTTTCAGTTAAAATCACTTTTGAAAAGAAGACAGATTGGAGAGAAATTATCACTTTTTTATAAAAATTATATAAAAAAAAAATGAGTGGATTTAACATTGAAATTATCATTTTTTTTAATTTTTTTGATATTTCAACTTTATTTTCAAACATCTCTGTAATACACAATTCTGCAGCTTTCATTAAAATGTCAGATTCATAATTAACAATTCAGATATTAACATTAATAAAAGTATTAAATATTAAAAAAGAAGTAATTTCATTATTTATTAAATTTTTTTTTATCATTCTGTCAAATTCTTTCAAATTTATAAAATATTTAATGATGAAAAGCTGCTGTTTATGTGTATAAGATTCACAGCCACTAGTTACCAGTTAAAAAAAATTCAAAATCAACAATTAAATAGATATAATTTTTTATAAATTGAATGTAAGATAACTGCTCACTGACATTGTTAAAAAATAAATTATCTTAACTTTAAACAGAGCATTTGTTGAATAGCTTTTGATAATATTTATATTCAACTTTTGAGTAATGAAATTCTCAGTTGAATAGATGATATTGAATATAAATATATAATAATTAAAAATCTCTTAAGAAAAATGATAAAAAAATTAATAAATAAAAAGAAAAAGAAAAAATAAAAAAATAAATCTATCTTTACTTTTAATTTTTCTATACAAACATTTCAAATGTTAATAATTATATTTTCTTTTTCAACTTCTTCTCATCGCAATATAATATTTCATAAAAAGTCTGAGAAAAAACAGTTTCATCTTGAATGAAAAATCAATTTCATTCATACAAAATATTCAATTGATTTTAATATCATACATCTACTTTAAATATTTATCTGATCATTATAAAATTATTATTTTTTAAATTCTTAGTCATTTTATTATCATATTTGATATTTTTTAATCTGCTATCTCGAAGAAAAAATTAACTTTTTATATAAGATCAAAATACTACTGAGATACTGAAGGTCTTTACTTTTATATAAATACACTGAAAACGATAGCGAACGATAGCCCTGATCGCAGGGAATCTCACGACACCCAGCAATCCCCAGTTGAGGTGGTGCTGGTGCCATGGTTGTGATGGAGGAAATCGTGGGACGCGCTGACGGACACCCGCGAGAAGAAAACTCTGACAAGAGGCAGCAGCCCACCACATGTGGAGCAATATTGACACAGTTGAGCAATGTTCTTTGCAATGGGAGCGAAGATCCTGCCATCAACGGCAAAGGGAAGGAGGTAGTGGAGGAGGCAGCCAGGTTGGTGAGGGAGTTGAAGGTCAAACTGGGGGAGGTGATGCTGGCCAAGGTGGAAGACGCGACCGTGGCGACACGCGCACAACGCCAACCCGAAGGAGTGAAAGAAGCCAAACTGTCATCATGGGCCAAGGTCGCAGGACAGGGAATTCCAGAAAAACCAGTGCCTAACCGAACCCTCCGCGAGATTACTGTCCTACGCCGGGACTGCGAAGCCCTCCCAGCTGAGGAGGCCACCCCCCCAGCGATTGTGGCAGCCGTCAACGCCAGAATTATGGATGTGACAAAGGGAAAGGTGCTTGCAGCAAGATGTCTCCCCAGTGAGACATCATCCTGACAACCGACGCGAGGGAGACCAGGGAGGCCTTGACTAAGAGCAGCACATGGCTGGAAGTCTTGGGACAAAAGGCGAAGGCAAAGCACACCCTGTACCCAGTCATGGTTAAGGGAGTCCCAATGGGCAACACCAACTGGAAGGAGGAACAGCAAGCCATCAAGGCAATTTACGCACAGAATGAAGGACTCCGAAGAGGGGTACAAATTGAGAGACTGTCTCTACGACGGAATGCCAGCTTGCAGGCAAAGGTTGGGTCTCTTGTACTCAGCGTCACCTCGCCTCAGCAAGCCAACCTACTAGTAGACAATGGATTGATAATAGACAGCATATTTTGTGACGTTGAAATCTTCCACCGGGAAGCGCAGGTCACCCGGTGCTTTAACTGCCATGAGTATGGGCATACGGCCAGATTCTGCAGGCAGGCCAAAAGGTGCGGGTTCTGCGCGGCAAAAGAACATGACGACAAGGAATGCCCAGCACGAAAAGCTGGGGAACAACCGAGGTGCGCAAATTGTAGGGGAACACACCCAGCCTGGGTCTCTAAGTGCCCTGAGAGGGAGAGGGCATCAAGCAGGGCCCGTACAGCATACATGGAAAGACCCCGTAGGTTTATGGAGCCAAAAGCACAAGATGGGTGGCAGGTGGTGCAAACCAGAGGAAATAAAAGGTTACCCACTGGGGAACCAGAGGGCCAAAGAAGAGGACCAGGCCGACCCAAGGGGATTCTGCAAGCAGGCGAAGCCCAGAGAGGAGCTCTAAGTGCCTTTATAGCACCACAGAGCTCACAACCTGGGTCTCAGCTACAGGAGGACCTAATGGACTACACGCAGACCCCAGCCCCCACGCAACAATGAGGGACACACTAAACCTCCTACAATATAACGTGCACAACTCTGCGAGAGTTATGGGTGCGTTATTGGCAGACCCTGCAACAGAAGACAAATACGACGTAATTGCAGTACAAGAGCCCAGCCGGAATCCCCACATGCTAGCAACACACTGCCCCAGAAGCTGCGGCTTCTGGCCAGCATATCACCCGGAAACACACCCAAGAGTATGCTTTCTGGTCAACAAAAGGCTCGTGGAACACACATGGGAATGCCACTACCACTCAGAATACATTGCAGTGCTGACAATCACCACCGACCTGGGTAAGGTGCAAATAGTCAATGTGTATGCACCTCCTCCAGGGGGCTACAGCAGTGAACCGGAGGAATCCCCCATAGGCCAGCTGCAGGAGGTAGCCGGAATGGGCACAGATGCAGAGCTGGTCATATTAGGAGATCTTAATGTCCACCATGAGAGGTGGGGAGGGGTGAGAGTGGAGAGAAACTTCCGCATGGCATGGCAGCTAATAGCACAGGTGGATAGGCTGGGTCTCCAGCTTGCCACACCTGTAGGGGCTACCACATGGCAGGACAGAGGCAGCCCAGGAACGACTATAGACCTCACCTTTCTATCACCACTCCTGCACGACAAGCTCAGGAGGTGTGCAATAGCGGAGGAGGCATGCAAAGGATCTGACCATAAGCCCATAGAAACAACACTGGAACTCACACCCATCCCAAAGGAGGCTGAGAGACGAAACTGGAAGAATGCGGAGCCTGAGGAGGTAGCAAGGGACTGCCAAAAGCTATATGTGCCACAAAGCCTGGACTCCAGGCAAGCAGTCAAGGAGTATGCAGACTACCTGGTAGGATTTGTAGGGACATTAGCGGACAAACACGCCACCGTAAGTAAGGCTGGGTTAAAATCCAAGACATGGTGGTCACCGAGGGTGGCCAAGGCAGTGGAGGAGTACAAGCAAGCTAGGAGGTCCCAGCTCCCAGAAATGGAGCGGCTCAGGGCACGCTGCAGGCGCAACAGAGAAATCCACTTGGCTAAGACAGCAAACTTCAGAGATCTGGTTGACAGGACCCGTGGTGACCCCAGATTGATGTGGGGACTAGCAAAATGGGGCAAGGAAAGAAGCCATCTGCCCCCACAGGCACCTACTGTCCCCCCCCTGAGAACAGGGGAAGGGGCTGACGCGACGGTAGAAACCTCTTTTGAGGGGAAGGCTGAGGCATTACGACAACGGTTCTTCCCACAGCCAGAGCCCGCCGACTTAAGTGACACCAATATGGAGCTGCTGCAAGCTGAAAGGGAAGCGTCAAATGACACCATCAGTGTGGAGGACATGGAAAGCCTGATCCAGAGACTGCCAAACAGGAAGGCACCAGGGAGGAGTGGGATCACCAACGAGTTCCTTAAGATGCTGGGCAGAACATTTGTGGAGGCCATAACAGCTCTCACCAATGCATGCTGGCATTGGGAGACTTACCCAGACACGTTTAAGGAAGCCAAGACAGTGGCCTTGCGCAAGCCAGGGAAGGCTGACTACCAGACTGCAGGAGCGTGGAGACCCATTGCCTTGCTGGACACAATAGGGAAGATTGTGGAGGCAGCAACTGCAAAACGCCTGCGGAAGATCGCGGAGGACCACAACCTGCTACCCTCACAGCAAATGGGGGCAAGAAGGGGCAGGTCCACTGAAACAGCCATAGCACAACTTCTAGCCCAGATAAGGACAGTGTGGCAGCACCCAGGACAGGTGGCATCGGTACTCTCCCTAGACATGACAGGGGCCTATGACAAGGTGCTGCGGGAGCGAATGGTTCACATCCTCCGGCGACTGGGCATCCCCAGGGACCTGGTGGGATGGGTTGCGTCCTTCATGACCAACAGGAAATCCACAATTGCCTTTGAGGGCCAGGAATCAGACACCTTTGACATCCCAGCAGGCATCCCGCAGGGGTCACCCCTATCACCTATACTATTCCTATTCTACAATGAGGAACTGGTGCGCATCTGCTCAAGACCGGGGCGCCCGGTGGTGTGCATGGCCTTTGTAGACGATGTCAACGTGATGGCCTATGGCCAGTCCACTGAGGACAACTGCAGGGAGCTCCTGCGCATGCATCGGGCATGCGAGGAGTGGGCAGCACGGCACGGGGCGGTCTTTGCCCCCCAGAAGTATGAGCTAATGCACTTCACACGGGCGCGCAACCAATTCAACCTACAGGCTGAGCTGAGACTACCAGGACAAACTATACAACCGAAACAGGTGATGAAGGTATTGGGTGTATGGTTAGACTCTAGGCTGAGATGGAAGGGCCACCTGGACGCGGTGGCAGGCAAGATGAAGACTCAAGTCAGAGCACTGTCCCAAACCACCCAATCCACATGGGGGCTCCCACTACAACAAGCGAGAATGGTGTATAACATGGTCATCAGGCCGGCCCTGACCTATGGAGCAATAGCATGGCACCAGCCACAGGGGCAGGGGGGCACGGGTCCAGCTAAGTCAGGACTGGCCCTCAAGCTGACCACAGTGCAGAACTCCTGCCTCAGAATAGTGGCAGGGGCATACAAAAGAACCCCAACAAGCACACTGGAAGCGGAAACCCACACAGTACCCTTAGACATCCACCTGGATGGGCTAGTGGCAAAGGCGGTCAACAGGATGAAGGCCTCAGGAATGGCGCAACAAATTGAGAATGCGTGTGCGGCCATAAGGACCAGGCTTCGGCACCGGGGGGTGACAAGGGGGGCACAGAGACACATGGGAGCTGTGGTTCACCCGGCAGCCCTGCCAGTGGACTGGGAACAGCAATGGATTCAGGGTGCTAAGGAGAGAGCCACAGCAGAGATGACACCGGAACAACGAGCCAACCTGGACCAAGCCTCATATAATCACTGGCTGAAGCGCGAGCAGCTCTGGAGGTGGGTGCAGAGGTGGAAAAGACGTGAGCCCCCCTGGGGGGAGCGGCATGGCCGGCCCCCAGACAAGAAAATTCTGAAGTGGCACACCGGCCTGCGCAAGGCTCGCAGCACTATCATCATCCAATTGAGGTCAGGGAAAACCGGACTGGCAGCTTTCCTAAACCGGTGTAAGGTACCTGAATTCCCCACCCCACGGTGCCCCTGTGGGTATGAATGGGAAACAGTCGAACATGTTCTGATACACTGCGAACGCTGGGAGCAGCAGCGTCAGGGCCTTATAAGAAATGGCAGGCTAGACAAGAGGATGCTGCTAGACACCAAGGAAGGCCTGCATCTCCTGTCAAACTGGTGGATGGAGAGCGGGATTCTAGGCCAGTTCACATTAGCACGCGAGCTGACACACTATGTACCATAAGGCCCTGAGCTGCCTTGGACCCCCAGAATCCCCTGAATCCCACATGCACTCACTCCCCTGACTACTTAGCCCCTCCCTCTCCTCCCTCTCCTCCCCATCCCCTCGCCTCTCTCCACCTCATTTGCACCACCTCATTTTCATCCCCTCATCATCTCCTCACCCTGCCGTATAATCTCCTCTATCTACCCCTTCTGTCAATCCCCTCTACCCCCTCCTGTCACTCCCTTCTATCCTAACAGCGCCTACTATCTGTCCCTCCCTTCTTCCTTTCTTTTGTTACTCTACTTTCTCTAATTCCTTTTCCTTTGTTCCCGCTCCCATTGCAAGGAACAGCTCTAGCTGACTTGCCCGGTACCCTGCAGATGAACAGGATAGTTAACACCGCTGTGCGCAAGGTTTTTCACCCCCCTGCGCCAAGGCGCAGTGGGGTTTTCCTAGCTAGACATATGGTAGCAGAACCGCATATCCATTGGATGAAGGCGGAGTATAATAAATAATAATAATAATAATAACTTCTTCTCATCTAATATTATGTCTCCAAATAACATATTCAATGTGATGGTGTTGAAATATATAATAGAAGAAATAGATGATATGAAAAGATTGAATTCAAACTTGTTATCAAATTCAAATCTATCATCATATTCAAATCAGAAAATGATAAAAACTATATTATTAATTTTTAACAAATTGGAAAAGAGTAGGAAGTTTTTAATGCTGAATTATTTGCAATTTCAAAAGCTTTCAAATTGATTGAAATGAAAATTGAACAATGGAAAAGATGTGAGCATATTTGAATATTCTTTAATAATTAAGCTGAGTTTAAAACACTTCAAAGTAATAAAATCAGCAGTGAACAGTCAATGCTAAAGCTGATTTTGAAAAGTCTTTAAAATATTCAAAGAAAAATCTCATTCAATTGTTATATTCATCTTCACTGAATGTCTGCTCACATGGATATATGTGGTAATGAAATGGCTGATAAAGCTGCAAAAAAAGCAACTGAATTAAAAGTCTGCTTTTAAAAAAAAAATTGTAACATGAACTTTTATTAAGAGAAAAATAAGACAATAATGTTTGCAAAAATGACAAGATATCTGATTTTTATAAATTATTATTATTATTCTTATTCTTCCGTTATACTCATATGCAAGCAGTGCTTATGACGAGTCCTTGTGTAATGTTAAATACAAGCAAGAGTTGGTTATACAGGAGGAATGCTTAGTGTTGAATGATGCCAAGAATATAACAGAAACATAGGAAAATTAATGAAAGACAGGATTTGATACTCGCGATACAGGTTTCCAGCCCAGAAACAATAAGCTAAATCAGGTAGTAGGTCCGCCCGAAGGTACCTACTTGGCAGGTTCACATCCCTTTATTTTAGGAGCTGAGAAGTTGGCTCCGGATGCAATGTTGTCCCCTTGTGGGTTTCGAACCCACGCGCCTTGGGTCCCCACGCCAAGGCGCTACCTGGTGGCCGCATTACCCATTCGGCCACCGGGGCTGATTTTTATAATGAAAGAATGTACATTATTCCAGGTTTGAAACTAAGCTAAAATGAAAAGCTTGTTCAATGAAATGTAAAAAGAAACTTTTTGCTACAATAATGCAGCTAAAGCTTGGACATGATTATTTTAAATTGTATTTAACAAAGATTAAAAATGATTTAAATGACTTATATTCAGATTATCAATTACATGAAAATTCAGAGCATCTTCTTTTACTTTGTACAAAGTATACAGAGTTAAAATTGAGATTGAGAGAGAAGTTTGAATTAAAACAGTTAAATTGTAAACAATCGGACGGTGAGTACACGGCCGCACCTGGCCCTCCCCCCTCCCGCGTTTCCCGAACGGGGCTGGGCCGGGCCTCGCGGACCCCATCCATTGGCCGCGTCGGTCGTGCCGTCGCCCCTTCGGGTTTGGCGCGCCTCCACCTCGCCGCTTGGAGTTACATCATCGACGCGGTCCGAAAATCTATATAAGATCGCTCCTCGTCCCTCTCGCCCACGCACCTTCCATCTTCCCAATTTCCCTCCTCGTCTCACTCTTGCCCTTCCCCTTTGCCCCATCAGCTTTCCCTCTTCCCCCCTGCTCCGAACCCGTTTCGCCATCGCATCCCCTCCCCCCCATCCCCTTCCAGACCTCGCCCGTCAACCCCGGCCCATCCCCTTTATTCGGTCTTCTTGGAAGACCATGTAGATCGAGAGATCACAATTACCCACTCCTCTTCTCGAGGACAACAGGCTTTGCTCACTGGATATTTCACTCGCCCGTGCCTCTCTTGCCCGTGGACATCTTCTCTGGCTTACTCTGTTAGTCCTGCAACACATTCGCATTTCTGTCACCCCTCTCCTTCTCTTTCCGTCTGAGCTACAATTCGATGCATGCGCGTTATGCCATCGACCAATGGCAAAAATCCCTCATGTCGGCGGAACCCGAGATTGCGGGGATCCGACATCCTGCCAGCGGCGCAGCGAGATTCGACTGGACACTGGGGTGTAACGTTGAGAGGGGGGGGAAGGGGTGCCTACGATTGCCGGCGCATGCCCGCGCTATGCTATTGACCAATGGCAAAAATCCCTCATGACGGCGAGATCCGAGATTGCGTGGATCCAGCACCCTGCCTGCGGCGTAGCGAGATTACGAGGAGTGCGGCTGGACGCTAGGATGTGACGTGGGAGGGTGCGGACGCAAAATGCCCGCCTTCGCTGAGCCTCCGGCTGCTTTCGATGATTGAATTGGCTGTTCTGGAGTGTCGGCCGCGTATCCTTGTATTCAAGGTTTGATCCATTGGCGAGGTATGTCGGCGAATCCGACGCTGGGTCGCTTCCAGCTGAGGGAACTGAGGGAGTCAGGGGCGCAGCGATCGTGTGACGGTGAGGTAGGGTGGGTCCCCCGCGCAATCCAAAGGCGTCCGAGCCACCGGTGTGTCTGCTATATCTCGGTTCATTCGTCATCGATTCTACGACCTCATGACCAATTTGCGCTCGTCCTCATGCATACGGCGTATAGGAAATGAAACATGGGATTGCCGAGTTTGTTCTGTGGCTGTGATCCCTGGTGAATTGGTGGTGACCCTTAGCTCTGGACCGGTCGAAGATGCAGTTCAGAGGAACCCTGGCTCTACGTGTTGCATTCCGTGTGTTGCATTGCGATCCATCCCTGTTTTGCGGGCAGTTTCCAGGTTGGAGGGGAAGAAGCAAAGCGTTTTTTGAAAATGCTGGGGTCTATTCACAAGACACAGGAAAGCCTTTCGCGGACTTTGGGCACTCTGCCAAAGGAGGAGCGTTTCTGGTTGTCGCTCTATAAAAGCGTCGGCTTTTCCCTTCTTAAAAGCACTGCTCGCAGAACGAGAATCACAGCTTCCCCGAACCTCTATCTCAAAAGCACACACGCACGTGCAGAGCAAAACCCGACTGCAGTGACAATGGACAAGATCCGGTTCTACCAACCCCCAAATCCCATGAATCCCTCCAAACTACTACAGAGCCCCAAACTTCCTGCAATCCCCAGACAGTTACAGCTCCCCAACCCCTCAGCACAGAGACCCATTCCCAGCGCCGACACATCCTCTTCCCTATCCTGTCCCTCACAGCAGCTCAGACACCCATTGCCCCCCCGCCCGTCCCCCTTTGTTTCATCTCCCATTTCTTCTCCGTCTGCAAGTCAACGGTCCCAGTCACCCGAAACCCCAGGAAATGACTTCGACAGGATTTTGGAGGAGATCTCGTCAGATGACGGGAGCCAACCTCTCTGCAGGAGTCAGAGAAACACCAACGACCATGCTGCCACCTTCCCCAGCAGGTCGGACCTTAGCGATTCTTCTGACGACCGCTTTGATATAACTATTAAGGTGGATGCGGCCGAAGAAAGTGTCCCTGAAGCCCGCCTTCATGCATACCGGTCAGGTGCAAGTAGAGGTCGGTTTCGAGACTCCCTCATGGCGTTTCTTACCGACTCCGCTGACTGGCTATTTCAGATGACCCCATCGTCATCGATGACTCGATGGAGATTTGTCACGATGATGGATTCACAGAAGAGTCTGTGGATGCGCAGACGTCTCGGTCGTTGTCATCTCATTGTGGTGGATTCATCGAGAAAGGTGGCGAACCGGATCCGATGGCGGATGGCAGTGCCGCATTGACTCCGCGAGAAGTTTCGGGTAAGGCTCGTTCCATTACGGTCCCGGTTTCCCACTGACCCGCGACAGAAACCCCCCCGCTTACCGTGAGTGAGTCGACCTCTTCTCGCGATGCCCACACCCGTGTCTCTCCACGTCCACAGAGTCGATCTCCTCCAATCCCGGTTGAACGCGCGACTAAGGAGGAGTGGCCGGTAAGAAGGATACTGGACTCCCGGATCCGTGTGCGGGGGGACGAGGCAATGCTGGAGTACCTTGTCGCATGGAAGACTACTTGGCGGACCAGACAGGTACGCCAATTGCGTTTCAGGCATATTGAACTTCCTGCGATCCCGGCTGTATGCAACGGGACGAGGGAGGGGTGGCCAGTAAGGAAGATACTGCATTCTCGGATCCGAGTGCGAGGGGACGAGGAATCTCTGGAGGATCATGTCTCATGGGAGTCTACCTGGCAACCGCGAAGCGATCTGATTCCAGGTTGCAAGAAGTTGGTCAGAGAATTCCACGCAGAATGGAAGAACAAGCGGCCGTCGTTGACAACTCTGGCAGGCTATAGGCATTTCAAGCAGAGACAGAGATCGCGCAGGGCAGTGGACGCAAGATTGTAAAGTCGATTGGATAGAACCTTCATTAGTGTAACTATATAATGTCATTTTTGGCATATTTCATTCCGGCCCGGGAGCTCTATTGATATTGCGTATCAGATTCCAGCCCAGGGTCTACCTTGGCTACAGCTATGGTGTGGTATTTTCTTTGTTCGTTCTTCTTTGTTCGTGGTAGTGTTAAATAGAGGTGTGGTATTTGGTGCTAGATACATATTCGATCCTAATCCCATGCAAAATGTAACTACCACTCGCCAGGTTCTGTGGGCCCCATTGAACCCGCCGATGCCATAAATTCAAGCCGTGCGCGAATTCGATTTCTCACATTATTTTTTAGAATCCGGTTTATTCCTCGGTGAAAAATTCCGCAAATTCTTACACGGCTCGGCGTCCCCAGCAAGTTGCCCATGATGGCAGGACATATCACCAGCAAGCACGGTCGAGTTCTACACAATCTAAAGACGCTGAAAGAATGCCCTTGGAAGGCAGCATAAACCTCCATGCTCCCAACTCCATCCAACCCCAGATGCCGTTTACATAGTTGAGGCATATCGCTTATGTCCTAGGCTGCAGCAGAATCGTCAGCCCAGCGTTAACGCAAACCTTTTATCCGCGAACGTGCGTTGAGCGGAAGCTCTTCCTATTGGCTGAACTCCAGCCGCACTCTGACTCACTGACACAAGCTGACACACCACATAGAGAATAATCCAAATGATAATATTCTGGAAAGGGCTGTGTTGATATTTCACCCTATTTCTGCCTCCTTGGCCGCTTCAATACCTGCGTCTGCTGGGTGAAGGAAGTATTGGGTGTAACTTCTGCTGAGGCTGCACAGCTTTCCTGACTTAGTTGGCTGTTATCCTCATCCAAAAAGGATGGGACGTTTGATTGAGAGAGTCCAACTTCCGACGGCGAAACATCAAAATTTACTCCAGGAGGGATCTCATCAATAGCGGAGTGGATCCTTTTCAAATGATCTGGCGCCCACTTTTCATAAACGTTCCTCGTAAACGTGTAAGCAGACCACTTCTCTCTGCCGTCAAGCTCCGTAAAGTCAAACGTTCTGATGGGGTGACGGTAGAAGGAAGTCTTGTTCCCCTCGATCACTGCATAGTGGCCGTAGATTCTCACTGTCCTGTGGTCGTGCGAGATCGAGAAAGCCAAGATCTCGCGATTGACCTCTTCTTTCCGTCCCACAAGTTTGAACAGCTCAACGACGCCCCTCACAGCAAGGGTCATGCTGTGTGCGTTCTGCCGGTCGGCGATGTCGAGCGCGACGGTACCCTTCACCTCACTGGTCAAGAAGGGAAAGTACATGTAGAAGGTGGCTAGGAAGAAGGAGCTGTAGGAATCCGGGTCGTAGCCAAGGAACGGCTCAAACTTCTTCAGCTGGTCTTCTGTGAACGCAGAACGGCCGAAGCCGACCGCATAATCGGGCTGCGGACGTGGTCCACAGAAGGCAATGGAGGAAGCCCACTGTTCATTGACACTTTCAGCCAAACACTCTAAATTCTTAGCGCCACATGTAGCGAATGTCTCTGCCGAAGGGACAATCAACCGAGATATATCTTGAACAACCCTTGATTCGTTTTTAGTCTGTAGCTTTTGACAAGCCTTCCGGAACCGATCGTTCTGAAATATCGTGCCTTCGGGAATCATCAGTTTCTCGTCAAGTAGTGTCCTGCAAATCTCTTTGCTTTTTTCTGTTACTTCAAGTTCGGATTCAGCCATAAAGCTGCCTTTGGTGGCAAGGATAGTCTCATAGGTAGCGCTTCTGTATTTGGCGCTCTTTCCATCTCTCGATTCTTGATTAGTGGGTGTGTTGGAGCCTGTAGCGAGACTCGAGGTTGAGTTTTTGCGGCGAACAGAAGCCGTTGACTTTTTCTTTGCAAGTAGGTGGCTCATGTTTTCTCCAGGCTGTGCTTCAAAATAGTTTATAGGCCAGCGATTGTTCTTGCACCAATATCCGATCAGGTCAACCTTCTTCCAGTTAGCAATATCACGTTTCTTTTCCACAAAAATATCAATAGCTAGGCTCGTAGACAATCGAGGTCGTTTAAGGGAGGAGGGCGCTTGATCTTCACAAGGTCGTTTATGATTTGGTTTTGTACTCTGTTCTTGGTTGTGGGTGCAGGTGGGAGGCTCCTGCAATAGCTCCGATTAATCAGTTTCATATCGCCGTCATACAATTGAGGAAGTGCACATACAGGGGCGTTTTTACCGCTTAGGCGCGCGCTCCTACGGTAGGGTCTCGGTCGTTGTTCCTCTTGCTCTCTCTTAACTCGCTTAACTTGCGTCCCTATAACAAGTCAGCCCCAAATACAGTAAGGACGTTCCAGATATTACCTTTGTCTTCGGGTGCCTGGCGTTTTCTGGCGACTATCGGCGTTTGACACTTAGGTTTATTGATTCTGGGCATCATTTGATGACGAGCCATTTTAAGGAGATAGGAAATGGTGGAGCTTGGTCTTTATAATCGAAGGAGGAAGGAGTGGGAATTGGCAGACAGTTAAAAGGAAGCCCATCCAGTTTGGGTTAGGTCCACAAGGCACTTGCGTTTCAGAAACTGGATCTGGGCGCTAATATTAAACACTCGATGTCGTCTTAAGTGGTAGAGTCTGCGAGGTCTGGTGATGAGACATAAACTGAGTGAGGATGGGCGATTTGCATGGAGTTGTTTACCCTTGGTCGGTGGGGCGAGGTGTGATCGCTAATTGGCCTAGTTCTGTACGGAGTAATCTCAAATGTCATGCAGGCGCGAGGACCATATCTCATAATACCAATGGGAAGTGGTGGAACTGGAGGGCAGGGATGAAAGGTTGGGGTGAGGAAAGATCGTTGCCAAGAGCCAGTCACTACCACATATTAGTCATGCTCTGAATTCTCCCTGAAAAGCGGGGAAATGTCCAGTGCCATCTCTTTGCAAACCCATCAATTCTTTCACCAGTTGTGCATCAAAACTTACATCAATATTGAAACTCTATACATCTTCCAACAACACTCAATGAGGATGCTCTATGCGTGGTCAGGATTGGCTATGACGACGGGTTTAGGATCTGTAATATGTTTGGTTTTGGAGAAATAGACATTCCGGTCTGAGTGACTCTTACCCGCAACTAAATGACAATGCTTTGCGCCCCGCCTGTTCTGGAAAAAGCTGCAAGAAGGTAGCTGCGCACGCACTTCATGAGGACTTCTTTTCAAACTTGATCCACGCCTTTATCACATAACATTTATACCCATAAAGAACTTCTCGCGTTACCCGTCCGTGCGCTGTACCCAAACTGTCAACTAGCTTCCCCTCGTCATCCGCAATATTGCATGATGTGCCTTCGAACTCCATAGTCATGCTCTCCGTTATCTCAAATTTCAAAGCCGTCTTGATCTCTTCCCATTCTCCACTTAGAGCCAAATCTCCAACTTTCGCCGACATAATCTTTCAACGATCAGTATGTAAAATCGCCACCGGCGTTGGCAGCTCACTAGGATGGAGAGTTTCAAGGAGAGGGCAATCCGGTGGATGTAAATATCGAACAGACGTTTCTGCAAAATGTCTTCGATCGTGAACAGTGCCAATCTCAGGTGGAATACCGTTATTAACCTACATGGTATTAGTTCCTGAGCAGACTGCTGGTAAAATGCCTCGGCAATTATCACTCACGAAATTCTTCAGTGGCACCTTGTGGCTGACGGCGATAATGTAATGTTGCGGATACCAGATGAAGGCTCTGTTGAAGATAATTCTGCTTTGTCTATCAAAGCAAGACGATCTTTATAAGAATGAAGTGTAAAATGAGGTGGGAATCTTCGGCGACGCAAAGGGGAGATATTATCGCTTGACTGCTGATGTTTGGTGGACCAACAAAAAAAAGAAAAGGAGAAAGAGGAGGAAAAGTATGACGAAATCGCTGCTGTCGCTGCCCAGAGAATGAGAGGGTCCGGCTAAATGAATCAATCAATCAATCAGTGCGGGGCTGTAGCCAAAGGAGGGCCATGTGACTTCAGCAATTCAGCAATATGATCCCGGGAGAGTTAGGCTGCAATGCGTTTGGGCTGAAATAATGCGCACATTTAGATGTTTCGTGGTGGCTCGTAAATTTGATAACCTTCCTCTCAGCAACATTCTTTAATTGATAGCAACAACGATGCTCCACCGCCCAATGACGAGCTAACTGTAGGAGCCGAAATGCCTTCGCCAGGTGAGAGGGATAAATCTCTGGTCCTGGGAGCGTGGCCAGTATTTCTGACATACAACACTAGAATCGAATTGAGTGGAATGAGGCCCGGAAAGCCGCTAAACTTGTACCTGACGGTAGGCGAAGCAAATACATACAATATTCCCACTTGCATAGTCACTACGGTGTATAATTTTAGCAACTAGGCAACAGCTAGAGGATCCAGGTCCCAATATTGAAAGCTCGCGGCGGAACGTAGAACTTACGGAGTAATTGTCGACATGTTCTTTTCACCAAGTGTCATCTCCAAAAGAACTTTCATCCCATAAGATCAATTGTTAAATCCGTCGCCGTTGGTAGTCCAGTATGGAAGTACCTTGAATAACCTTTCCAGCGCCAATAGTAAACCTGAAGCCCTCTCTCTTGTCAAACCTAGCAGAAACTGACTTTGAGCTTGGCGCCAACTACAGTAGGAGGTTGCAGCATTAATGACGGGGCGAACTTACTCATCCCCCCATGAAATGACTGTCTTCTGGTATCATAGAGACACCCTTTGTAGCCGACTGTCGCTTCATCATTTGTAACAGGTTTAACGCTGTTCCCGGCTTTAAGAATGTATCTTTTGACACCCATAGTAGGAAGGAAATGATTTATCTTCTTTGGACAGAGTCAATGCTAGTGGATTTTGAATGGTTGAATTTTATATAGATGGAGATCTAATCTACACTTCTAAAAACGATTGTCCATTTTTACAACCAGGGCTCTACTAACAAGTAGCAAGAAGCATCATCAGTCATCTCAAAATACTTGATAAGTTTGGTCTGTGAGAGTGTGTGCAATTTTGAATCGATGCAAAGGCTGATTTGTGCTGCAGCTTTTCCATCAAATTTGTCAGCAGTCTTTCCATCCAGAGCAACAACCAAAAGATTTCTGGCTGATCTTCTACCAAACTTTACATCATTTTTCCCACAAATTCAATCCGATCTTGGTTTGACGACAGCACAGTGGGACCTTGGCGCGGACACCCGGCCACTCATTGGTTACAATAAAATATATTCAAATGGTCAATTCTTCAATGCAGTTTTGTGTCTTCAAACTCCAAGCGATTTTTCCAGTCAGGGTTCAGGGACAACACACCAAATCCTTTTTAGTGCTTCAAGGAGACGCCTCGACACGATTTAGATACGCAGAGTATCATGCATCCCCAAAGTGGGAGAGCGACAGCCATCTCCTCCTCCCGTATCGACATGGTCCAAGCGGAAGCGGAAGCGGAAGACGGCGAAGAATATGTGCTCATCTTTTCTAGCTGGGAGTGTTGGCAGAATCGTATATAAGGAGGCACAATTCCACCCGAATCCCGAAAATCTTATCAAGCCAATTAACAAGACCAGTCAGTAGCTCGTGAACAAAAGCTTCTTCATTTATTATTCGCACTACCAAACGCGAAGACTTATTGTCTCTCAATTGTTCTTGCAACCCCGTTGGCACCTATCAGGAAGCCGCGCACGGTGTCACCACCCATTCCATAATGAACGCATTCAACGGTGCTGGCTCTTTGCCAATCCACACTGCCCCGTCTCAAATCTCCATTGTGGACGTCTTCTTTCCCGGTTTCACCAGCATTTCAGCGTCTATACAGCAGCTCCTAGCTAGTGACCTGAACAGCTATGCTCATCTTCTGTGCTTCTGCGGCATGCTCCTTTTCTTGGGTAGATATGCCGTCCGGTACTTGATGGACTTGATGGAGATCTATTTTAGTTCGTGACTCTTCCCCCTAATGATTGCTCTTTCTAACCATCGACAGCTTCGACCGTCCACGTCTCCTACTACAACGAAGCGTACGACATGCTCATCGCCTGGGTATCCACCCAGCCCTTCGCCCATAAGGCTCGCTCCTCTCTCGCAAGTATCGGCGGCATGCAAAGAAGAGCATATGCTGATGATCTTTCAAATGAGTACAAGAAAAAACCTTTGCGCTTTTCACCTTGGAATGGATCATTCTTATTCGTGTACAAGAACCATCTGCTCCGGTTCCAGTGCGTGGCAAAAGAGACCAAGGAAGAGATCTCCATTTCCTGCATCGGCGGATCTTCGCAAATCCTGAGAGCACTCCTTAGTGATTGCCGAGCTGAGTATCTTAAACTTATCCAGCGAAAGACTACAGTCTTTGAGCATCATAATGGTGAATGGAGGAAGGCGAAGGCAAGAGACATCAGACCAATCTCGACAGTCATCATGGATGAGGGCGAGAAAACGGCCCTGTTGAAAGATATCGAGGATTTCCTGGACGAGCGAGCTCGGGGCTGGTATGCAAGGCGCGGGATTCCCTATCGAAGAGGGTTCCTGCTGTATGGGCCTCCTGGAACCGGGAAGTCCAGTTTCAGCTTATCTGTCGCCGGGCGTTTTGAGCTAGATATCTATGTACTCAATCTTTCGAGCATCGACGACAGCCGCCTAAGCAGTTTGTTTGCCCAGCTTCCCCCGCATTGTGTCATTCTCTTAGAAGATATCGATGCTGCTAGTACTGCACGAATGGAAGACAGTGAAACGACGAAAATCACTGGCCAGGCCGCGGTAGGCCCTTCACAGAAGAGCAAGTCTCAGGGAAATGTATCTCTGTCCGCGCTTCTTAATGCCCTGGATGGCGTGTCTTCGCAGGAAGGTCGATTGCTGATTATGACGACAAATCACATCGAGCGTTTGGATGACGCACTCATCCGCCCTGGCCGCGTGGATAGACAGGTTTTGTTTCAGCTCGCTGATCACAAAATGAGTTCTCGTCTTTTCTGCACGGTTTTCAAGCGGTCAGATGGGGATCAGCGCACTACAGGAAAGGAGTTCGATGATGAAACAATTGAGCGACTTGCGGATGAGTTTGCCGCCAAGGTTCCGGACCAGGTATTCAGCCCAGCTGAGATCCTGCTATCGTTCCTGCTTGAACGCAAGCAGTCGCCTACCGACGCAGTGGCTGATGTGGAGAATTGGGTTGCCAAAACCAGCAAAGAAAGGGGAAAGGTGAAGAATTACGCCAGGGCACGAGCAATTGCCAACCCCACTGACTCTTTCGAGGATCTTGCGGAGAGTTCCCAGGCTCACAACGCTTGATCCATCGCGGAAGCCTGGCGGACCCAACGCATTCTTACGTCTCGGTTTTATGCTTGTATAATGGAAAGTTTGATGTTAATGGCCAATCTGGGAGGCCCTCTGCTGTTTGTCTGGCGAGACGTTAGCTCCGAGTTGACGTTCTCGCGAGGTGGACTGGGACAGATATTTTCTGCCTCACGTTTCTCTTTCATGTTTCTTTGTCAGGAATTGTTCCTGATGGCAACACTGCTTGTTTTAACGTTGAATCTCCATGACTTCGCCTTTTATCCGTCACAAGATCTGCCTTGTTTGATTTTCTGTCGTAGTTCAATAATTGACGGAACTTAGTCAAATTTTGTAAACATCGCTCGCCATACATCAACGGGAAGTGCGGAGGAACCTCTCTCTGTTCGTAGGCGCCGTTTCTCCGAGCATGCTCGATCAATAAACTGTCCGTAGCTCAGATGAATGGTGTGGACGACGCGGTCCTTCATAGTCACTTCCCATCCGCTCTCGAAGGAGGACAATTAGCGTAGACCAGTGGGCTGAAGGCATATAAAGCCAGCCCTCCTCCCACTTTGTTTCCCTCGCTCGATCTTCCCTTTTCTCCTCATAAAATGCCGCAGTTTTCACTATGGCGCCTACAATTCAAAACTTAGCCCAAAACAAACCAATAGCACCCAAACCAAGGGCACCTGATGTCCAGAGCGATAGCACCCAAGCACGCCAAATTTCGGACAAAAAAAGGCCAAAATGGTCTTCAGAAGAAGATGTTCTGATCATCGAGCTTCGGCAGCGCGGAATGGCGTGGGGAGATATCAGCAAGGAACTCCCCGGGCGAAGTGCACTCAGCTGTCGCCTGCACTACCAGAATTACCTTGAGAGACGGAGTGAGTGGAGCGAGGATCGCAAGACCAAGTTGGCCCTATTATATGAAAGGTGGAAACGGCGTGATATCTGATGACAACTGGCTCCTTACTGACAGAGCAAGCAGATTCAAGTCGGAAATGTGGGTGAAAATTGCAGAGGAGATGTCCATCCCCTGAAGGGCTGTTGAAGCTATGCACTGGCAACTGGGAGAACAAGAAATGGCGAGACGATCTAGGACAGTTCCGTTCTCATTCTCTCAACCCGCATCAAAACGCTCACGTTCCGTTCAGCTCCCTCCCTTTGCGGAACTCGACGCCGTATTCCAAGGGAACCGCAGCCACGCAGCTACTCTCTCAACGATGGGTCATCCTTCGGCGTGGGATTGGATGTGGATGGCGTGATTATCGCTGCCGTGGCTTCATACCAATAATAGCTGTACAATTGGGGTTCGATACCGCAGCGTTCGATGTATGTCTCTGGTCAGATGTCCAAGGCAAATCGGAGGTTCCGGGATATGTTGGTATTTATTCTTTGGTCCCACCGCGTGAGGCCGGTTTCTACGGATCTCCTCTGCTTCCATGTTTGTGGTGATTGTATATGAAGATGTCTGGCGCAGGACCGGCCTTTGTTTGATTTTCTGTTGTAGTTCAATAATTGATGAAAGTTAGTCAAATTTTGTAAACATCGCTAGCGATACATCAATGGGAAACGTGGAGGGCAGGGGCCGTTTCTCCGAGCCTGCTCAATTCGCCCTCATCCATCCGATCCCTGAAACTGTCTCTAGCAGCCTACGAGTCCGTAAAATGGTGCGGTCTTTCACGGTCACTCCTCGTCTGTCTGGAAAGAGGACCATTAGCGTAGACGGGGGACTGAAGGTATATAGAGCCAGCCCCACTTTGGTGAGGTCGGTGTAGTCACGTGAGGAGCTATGATGCGCGTACCATGGGAATTGGGTGCAAGCATGCCATGCTCCATCTTCCATCAAATACAGATGATTTTTGCCAGCAGAATGGGTAAGTAACATCGATCTCTTTATGACTTGGTCTCTGACAGTTATCACAGAGTTGGAATCCATCGTAACCTCACAAGCCAAGCTGCCAGAAACCCTCTCGCATAGAGAGAGCCGCGAGCTGTGCAAAACCATCGAGTTGATATACGCGCGATTGATTATTGCAGAGGACATCATCAGCGCTCTAGAAGCAGGCCATTATTTGGATGAGGCATTCGGCGGTCGCATTTGCAGCTTAAGGGATATAAAACAGCGCCTACAACCATATCAGCAACATGACCGACACAAGTCTCGGCCACACCTGCACAAGTGGTCTGTGTACCTGGGGCGTTTCAAAACATCAGTTCATTCTAACATTTGAGGCAGCATCATGACAACGGGCCAGTCCAGCCCGCACCTCCTGAGTGCGAAACAAACATTCACATCTGCGAATTGTGGCCCTCATTAATTCTTTTTTAACTCTGCTTGCCATCGCCCACTTGACCTGTTGACAAATTCTCTGACTTGAGTTGCTTTATTATAATTGTTGTCTGATGAGTTTTTAGTCATAGCAGTTTTACAGCAATTCAATCAAGCATGCATTTGAATAGAATTCATTCATTGTTTGATCTTAAACGCTCATAGCCTAGATATCCAAAACTCTCTCCTAGGCATACGTCCCAGCCTTGTTACCTCACACATTTCAAGCCTGCTGCAAGAAAACAGCAGAGATTATCTTCTGAAAAGTGAACTACTAACAGTCACTCCCCCAGATCGCCAGATCGCCAGATCGCCAAATTCGCAGCGTTAGAACACTACATCCGCACTGCTGGAGTACCACGGTCGGTGACATTCTCCAGAAGGTGCCCTTCCAAACCTATGCCTCCGGTAAGGGTTTAATGATACCCTATCTCCATCCTTCTACATAGATTTCTCATCTAAGACTGCAGCCCCCCTTAACGTCCCGCCCGAGCGGCTGTCTGTTGACAGGACCTCAAATAACCAAGCTAACGATGCACATTATAACTCAGATGCTGTAAACTAATGGAGATTCAGTGTATTGATAGCGTGAATTTGCTCTTGGTTGTCTTTTACTACACTATGCCTTTGGCTGACTTTTGAGCTCTGTTGATATGTCTAAGACCCCTACAAGTTTTGAAAGCTGCGAAATCAGCCTACGGCATACCAATAACTACATGTACCCAATTCACTCAGAAGTCTTCAAAGCAAGAGTCACCCAAAAGATATGTTCTGATGGCTACGTTATTCACTAAGATAGTTACAATGCTGATCATTTGGGTTGCGTTAAATCAAGATGGTTACAGGTCATCACTGTTAACCAATAACTACACGTACCCGATTCACTCAAGATTAAGCAAATTCCCGATCTCGTTGCTCTCCTTCAGAATCCGGCGGGCCACTTTGGCATCGACTCCCATGTCCTCCTGAACCAACATCTCCAGCAGTTCGGGAACCAAGACCTCCTGGGCATACACCACGGTCCCATACTTCGACGCCACGCTATCGATGCCGGCCAGTGAGTCAATGGCGTCTTTAAAGTGAGACACGACATGCGCTGAGCTGAGGGGAAGGTCAGTGAAGAGGTTCCTCGGTGGGTTCGCAGGGTCGGGATTGGGGGTGGGGGATGGAGGGGTGGAGGGGGGTTTCTTCACTCACAGGATCTCATGGCCTCTAAGGCCATAGTAGCCATCGACTGGGGGGGGAGTCGAACAGGATCCATTCGTCCCAGTTAATCTCATCGAGACCAGTCTAGAGAGAGTTTTGGATATCTAGGCTATGAGCGTTTTGTGACGGATTTGAATTTCGACGGAGCGTATAACAGCAGTGACCAAATATCATAATAGCTTGGCAACTGGGAGCGGGATAAATGGAAGAGTACTGAATCATGCAGTGAATTTTGCACATCAGCTTGAAGCTGTGTTAACAGTATTGAGTAATGCAAACAATGAAACAGGCGCTGTATCCTAACTCTCTTTTAATAGGATCAAACGATGAACGAATTCTATTCAAGACAGCTCAATTGACACGCCAGACGTTGTAATTCAGTGGCCCCAGGGACATCAGTGGCCCCAGGGACGGCAAAAGCAGTGGCCCCAGGGACATCAGTGCCCCAGGGACGGCAGAAGCAGCGGCAAAGCAGTGGCCCCAGGGACGGTAGTGGCCCTAGGGACGGTAGTGGCCCCAGGGACGGCAAAAGCAGTGGCCCCAGGGACATTAGTGCCCCAGGGAGGGCAGAAGCAGCAGCAAAGCAGTGGCCCCTTTAGATAGATTGTATCGAATACTGAAATGGACATGAAAGTCTTGAGGTAGCTCGTCTCCCCCAAATATCTTCCAATACACTAATTTCTACCTGGTCTGGTCACGTGAGGAGCTATGATACGCGTACCATGGGATTGGGCGTAAGCATGCCATGCTCCATCTTCCATCAAATACATATCATTTTACCAGCAGAATGGGTAAGTAGCATCGATCTTTTTGTGGCTTGCTCTCTGACAGTTATCACAGAGTTTCACCCCGTGCGACAAAGACAGCCGGGACATCAGGTCTTCCGATTGTTTTCGGGTAGCGAGAGAAGATGAGTGTACTGCAAGCTGAAAAGCAGAGCGGGATGAAAATCAAGTGTTGAAAAAGAGTGTGACTGAAAAGACAGTGAAGAAAGTGCAAGCTGAAAAGAGGTGCCGTTGAGGGAACACGGGCCGAAAAAGGGCAATTCTTGAGAAAGCAAATTTTGCAATCCTGGGTATCGCCCAATGTTGATTTGATTTCTGAATCAAGGATGGGGGGCTTGATAGGCGTCTTCCATCAGCTCTGAGGATTCTGCCCCGATGAAAAGTAAGCAAAAGTTGAGAATTTCATGTATAATACTGATGACCAAGCAGTGGCCACACAGCATCATTTACGAAAGAGAATCAGTAATTTTATGTTCAAAATGCTCGTACAAATATGGACTCGTTCGAATTAGAATTTCAGCCATGGGCCGCAGAGAATAGGGTATATTTCCCTGAAAATTGCCGCACCACGTCTTGGCGTCCTTCTGGACCGGACCGCGAGACTATCTGTAATAGTGGTAGCCTGCATATCCCGATGAGGGAGAGGTCAGGGTAGCTGATCCAATCAATCAATCAATCGAGACCTGACTAGGGGCACAGCCCTGGACCGGACCGCGATGGGCACAGCGAAAATGCCAGAAAATATCCAAAGCGAGATAGATCAGTTACCGCTGGCGGCGGTGACTAGGTCGATGTCGAGAAGTGTGGTAGACGACGGGGAACAACCGAGTGTGGAGCCCCGAACCAAGGATGCAACGTGGATCAACTTTAATTCGACGACACGCCCATCTGCGACCCAACCAAAAACGCAGAAACCGACACGCAAGCGGAGAAAAGCCGACTCCCTCACAGCCGTCCAGCTAAATGGCACCCCAAGCATTGAATTCACAGGTAACAGCGATGGACGCCCGAACAAACTTGACGAAATTGCATGGCTCGTAACCGAGCTGAAAGGAATAATTGCACAACAAGGCCAGGCAGTAGAGACTCTCAAAACATGCTGTGAAGAGTTAAAAGCAGACCAGAAAGAGTTAATCAGGCAAAACTCGAGCCTTAAAGATGAGATAACTGCTCTGAGAGCCCAGGTAACGCATAGACCGGATCAACGATCTTGGGCATCAATTGCCTCTCCCAGCGGAACGAATGGCGAATCCCCAACCCCTCCCTCACAAGATACCTCCCCGTGGAAGAGGTCAAAGCGCGGATCACAGGCGCCCTACAGAAGAATACGCCAACCGAAGGAGTCAAGATCATCGGGGTAGGAACTACAAAAACAGGGTACATCATCCGCTTCCGGGATGAAGCCTCCAAGGACACTGCCAGCGTGAACGAGGGGTGGCTTAGGCCACTTGACTCACATCATGGTTCACTCATCTGCTAATTCTCTTTGACTGTGGCGGTCTATCTCCTCGAGCGGTTCGATCCCAAAAAGCGTATCTGTGCCGGGGAAGGGCTTAGCTACAAATACCTGGGCCTTTATCAAGATTCCACAGATGAACCGGAGGCAGATGAGTAATTTGACTTGTCTTTTGATGACGCGGATCTACCGGTTGACACTTGGAAAATTATGATGTTCGTCGTCTGGCTATTCAAAATTTGCCGCCTGTTGTACTGACAATCATCCTTTAAAAACCTAGGTATTCCGAAATTCTCGACTACCACAACGTTGACCAACCACAAGAGATCACTGACTTGTCCTTCAACCTTGACAGAGCTGCTTCCATGTGCTCCGGCTAATGGGACTAACTAGTGGCTTTATTAACCATTATCATATATACCCACAGTGCAGCTCCTACAAGACCCAATGGAGCAAGTTGCATTATCGATACAACAGCGATACCAAATAGTAGTCATAAAAGATATAGTTGCAATGAAATCGGTGTTGAACCGAATTGAACAGTTGAAGGTAAAGACTGATCATTATAAACAGCAACACAGAAATATATTCTTATCCTAAAATATCTTGACTTAAGACTCGTCAGAAAAATATGGCTCAGAAAAGTCATCCTCGGTCGTGTTTTCGTCGTCTGGATCTATAGTATATGGTCAAATGGGGGGGTGCTAGCTTACTAGCATCAGAAGCGCTATGCATGAGTGGGATTGATAAGTCAGCTGTATCATTGCAATCTTCTCATTATATTCATTATTTTTGCTTTTGTTGATACACTGATACAAATCTAAAGTGTTACATATTGAGCATTGTCTTTGTGTGAGGAATTGCAACTACAATTTATTTTGAAGAGTAATGCTGAAAACCCTGCAACAGCCGCGACCTACTTGACGCCAATCTACCGGCGATCTCTCGACCGCTAGCTCTGCTGCTTCTCTATAGCCTGACGATTGATAGCAAACTTACAAATTCTTAGCTTTTGATAGGGCAACTCATTGTGGTAATAAAATGTGGATTCAAAGTTTCTCTCTCAGCCAGGAAGCCATTCATTTCATTTCATTTTTAAAAGGTTTACAAAAACCTCGCCCTCTCTTGCTATCTTGCTGGGTGAGGGTCTTTATCTCCTTCCCTAACCCTTGTTCGTACTTGGCCATCCGCAGCCTAGAACTTACAATCCACAGCCATGTAGAAGGTTGACGGGGGTGAGCCAAAACAAAGTTTCTTTTCATCGAGACCTCTGGCCTTGCAGGAAGCGTGTTTGGACCCATCGCACTCCAGAATGCCTGCCCCATTTGAGTTTCCTGTGTATGCGCACCTATGCCCCGGCCCGACTGCAAATTCGATCGATGGAGGGTAATTAGGGCGATTCTCTGGGTCTGAGGACGCGTCTACAACTATAAGAGGCGTGCTTGTGCACGGATTTGGCTCTTTATGGAGTTCTGACAAGAACACTTTCCAGAAGCGGGTCAACACGCCACCCCCAGGGTGCGAAGTGTAGGTTTCGTCCAAAGCAAAGAGCAAAGTACCAAGACGGGGCCCTGGAGGTTTCCCGCTTCCGTCACCTCCGCCGCCACCAGTCCATGACCATTGACATGTTTCAGTCTTGCAACAGGCTGGTGAGCTGGGGGAGCAGGTGTTGCCCCCACATTCACACATTGGACAGCTGGCATTGGCACAGCAGCTTGGCGATTCTGAGTCACATCCATTTTCACCGCATGAACATCGGTTGCCTTTGTCCAACTTGCATTTATCATCGCATGTGGGTTCTGGGTCACCGGGCCCGGTGGTCGTCGGCACCCGACTGCTTGCGTTTGGATCTTTCGGGTCGTGGCGATCTGGGGGCACTCCTGTTGGCATTGGTGAACAGAAAAAGCCTGTGCATAAGTGGCCGCCACAGCCGGTTCCGGATGCACATGTGGGAGTGGGCTTCACTCCAGCTTTACTGGTGAAACTAACAGTATGGCCGCCGGCGCCGGCGCCGGGCATGCGCGGGCAATAAGAGCCGTCGAGCTCCTTGAGCGGGTTACCAGTTCCGGGTTGACAAGGCTCCACAGTTTCTCCCTCATTTGTTTCGTCTTCAAGTTTTTCTCTGATTCTTGGACACCTTCTTCCCTGGTCCCATTCGTCAATTGTATCATAGTCAGCTAGACAGGAACGAGTATCCACCTGTCCATTCCAGATGATAGGTTTCGCCCTTGTCATGTCAATCTGTTTGCCGTAGACTTCAATGCGACGGTGAAAAATCTTGATCATTTTCTTCACGTTAGCAGGATCCTTCAATTGGTCTTGCCAGGGGGACTGAATCGATCGATAATATGCGATTAAACCAGATACGAGAGGGGCAGCTAGAGTTTAAACAGATTGTAAGTTACTACTTTCGCTCGGTAGGGGTTTCTCAATCTTGAACTTTGGTATAAACTTACAAAGGGAGGTTCCGGCCTTTACCGTGTAGCCGCCTGTAGGCGTTTGCGGAACCCAGACCCCATATCCAGGGGCAAAAGTGGTTATCCAGGTCCGGTACAAACCGGACGGTCCCTGGTTGCCGTCTTCATCTGTCTCTCCAACAATTATAAGGTTCTCCATGTAAAATGGAGATCCAGGTTCGCCGAAGAGAGCAGGGTAGAAGACACCATCTGGAAAATCCGGGTCAACATTGCCAACCGCGACAACAATAGAAACACCCCAACTATCTAGAGTCGCGAGCATTTCATCTACGTAGCACACCCACCATTAAGACAATAGTTAGCAGGAGTGGAAAAAGTGGTATCCAGCTCCTCACCTTGAGGACCTCAGAATTGGAGAGTAGATTGAGGCAATGCAGAAGTGTAACGGAACTAATGTAGCTTACGAATTCTTCTCAAACACGCCTCTCTCACATCGTCGTCGAGGTCGAAGCTCATGTTAATGACTGCTTTGTACTGGAAACCGTTACGCCGCACACGGTTCTGGATGGTCATCAACTGCTCGATTAATCGTTCATACCACAAATCACCAAGTAGAAAGAAAGGTGCCACATGGAGTTTGCAATTGTCACAGAAGCCCAAATTGGCCCCAACAACCTTGGAAGCCACCTCAGCCCCGTGATCAACCCTAGGCGAAAGGATTACCTCGGGAGCCCATGGCTGCTGGTTCACATCATCTGGAAACAAAAGTTCAATGTCCACACCTCTAAATTCCTACAAGAATTGAACCTCAGTCAGTCTTTCATTGGAAAGTGTATTCAACGTTCAGACACTCAATATTGCACTGAATGGACTTAGCGGGTGTCATCTCACAGGGTGATCTTTGTAGTAGCCGTCCTCCAGTATATATATATGCTGACCTCTTCCTGAAGTTTCATCATAGTTGAACTTAGGGTCGCCATTTCCATCCACGGTAGAACCGCCTGGTAAGTTCCAAACTTCCTTTTTCGGAGAGGAGACCTGAGAGAGGTCCCAAATACCCTGGTTCGATCGTGACTTTGAAGTTGACTGTGCAGATTGATTTGTGTTATGCTCATCCAGAACTGCTCTATTGCTGGTCGAATGATTGATATTCCCCTGTTTATAAGGAAATATAGGTTCAGGGGGGGTATTATCACGTTTAGCTCTGCGGTCTGAGTCCGAGCCTCTCCGGTTTGTATTAGCATACCAGGTTTCGTAGTAATAAGCGTCTGCAACATCGGGCTATGTAACTAAAATCAGCCATCACTCTCATGTGCTTCAACTCTGACATGTATTCAGTTCTTACAGATTCTAACAAGACGTCCATGGTCTCTTGGTCCAACAAAGGAACCCAAATGAATGCTACCTGCTGAAGCTCAATTGATTTGATCTCGACATATTTTCCCTTGTATTTAGCAAGAATCTGAGGAATTTGCCCCACATCTTTCATATTTGATGGATAAACGATGGCATTTGCAGGGCAGCCAGGGGGTGGTATGATGGATGCAGCGCCCTTCACTGGATTGGCTGTGGGTGATGGACAGTGATCTGGTTTGGTTTGTGTTGTTGTTGTATCCCAATCTGATGCTGAACACCCACGAATTGTATCACAAGTTGAACTGGTGGATGAGGCTGTGGAGGTAATTGTTCCACGAGTGGTTGTTGTCTTAAATACAGTTGTCATGCATATTTCTGCAGATTTTTTCTCGCATTTAGTAGGCTCCTCTTTGGGGTATGTTAAGATACGATCTTGCCCAACACTAAGTGCAAGTCAGTTTATGCTGTACTTCTACAGTTTTCAAGGACTGAGCTGAACAAAAATCTTACGTGATTGGGGGCCAGGGTGGGAGAGGCGATTTTATCGTCCATGATGGAGGAAGATCTATTGCGCGCGGGGGTGGCGGGCCCCTATGTTTGTGAATAGATTATGTTAATGTGCCACTCTTAACAATTGAAGGTATATTGAAAACACGCTACTCACGGTGGGTAAATGCCCGGTGGGAGATTCCAGCGTAAGCCTTTTGTTTCACCTTCGTCTCCGTTCGGACAGAACTGTATCCAGTCAATCAGGGGGGTCAAGGCGAAATTAGAGTATTTCATGTAACTCTAAAACTTACAGAGAAGAACCAGAGTTTGCATGGTGTTTTACCTGGCTCTGGTTTTTTGACCTCTTCTTCAATTGGTGTGACCACTCGAGGGGGCCATGTTGGCCATACTGGCGGTGGCTGAGTATTTGTCTGTCGCATCGTATGGTCAGCACCACAATGATCGCTTTCAAAGGTCTATAGATATATTTGAAAGTACTCACTGGTTTATTCGTGGGCCCTGAAGTAATTGTTTGATCTGGCTTGGTGAATGTTGTTGAGACAGTGCAGTCAACTGTGAAAACACCCGTGGAGGAACCAATAAATGTAACAACTTTTGTTGCAGGGCAAGTGAAAGCGATAGACACTGTTGTGGGAACTCTACAGTTGATTGTAGGTGTTGTTTTCGGAGTATTGAAAGGAACTTTCGAGTGGGGTGGACATTTCACCACAATCGGACTGACAGTTGATGGAAATGAAAGAGTTGAAACAGTGGGTTTAGTGGCAACAACAGTGGTTACAAAAGGAGTGTGGTAAACTCCTTCCTTCGTGCCATCTGTAGGGGATGCATTAGGATTGTTCCAGCTCTCCGGTGGTCCTCTGGTAATAGCTGGCCATGGTGGAACTGTGATATTGCGAGTGGTTGTCTTCCCTTCTCCATCCGGGATTGGTACAGGAATGGGTGGAATATCAACACTAGGCAGTACAGTGAGAGGAGTACTTGTCTGTCCTTCAGTGATATTGATGTTTGAGTAGGGCATTCCATCTGTGGTGATTGGGTCTATAGTCAATGTGATCGTAGTGACAGTTGTGTAGAATGTGGGTACTTCTCGTCCACCGATGGTTGTTGTGCTGCGATGCCCATACTCAACAGAAGTTGTATATTTACCAGGGTCAATAGTTGTTTTTGAAGAGAGCGAGCTTGTAGGAAACACAAGAATGCAATCGGCTGGGCATGTAAGTGATGGCTTATCATAGACTTCAGGCCCAACATAAACAATATCATATTCATCGTCTCCTTCCAAAGGAATCCAAACGCTAACCTCGGTTGTAAATCCACTGGGATTGAAGATTCATCATTAGTGATTAAACTCAGCAGAGAAAGAACTACAACACAAATAAACAAACCTTTGATTTGAATCATTCTGGAAAATAGCACCATGGCTAAAGTTAAAACGTTAGTTACATCTGTATGCCTAGGTACACTCATGAAAAAAAGTCACTTACTTTATTCCAGTTCCAATTTCCACAATTCCAACAGTAAAAGTGTTGAAAAGAGCAACATCTTTACTCCCTTTAACTTCAAGAATGCGCTCTTGACAATTGTGCGTTGGAACACAGTCCTGGTAATACTCCTGGAAAAAGCTGTATAATCCTGAACTGTGAAGTGTGATACCCTCTGAATTGATAATGCGCAGACCCCAAGCTGTTGAACAACCAGTGGTCTTACACTTCTCAAAAGATGGATCACCAGGAAATTCCTTGGCAGAGGAAAATGGTAAAGGCGCTATAGGAACTGGCTGATAATATGGAGTCTCTGTTTGAATATGGCCGAGATATATCTAGAAAACATCCAATTAGTACAATGCATGACTTTATGATACTTGTACTTATCTGGCCGCTCACATCTTTTGCTCCATATACTTGATATTGATACATAACAGTGTGTTCAGAGCCAGTACCGTAGAGCCAGGACGGCCCGTCAGACTCTATCAGTGTTCCACGAGCAGCGTATAGACTAATTTGATTCGCAATCTTATCAGGGGAATCGTAGACACTCTTGTCATTGTCACTGATCAGATACTGAAATTAGCCATCTACCTATGGTGTTCATAAGGATTCAACAACATCAATAAAATAAATTTAACTTACTGGTCCGCAAGCCATATCCAAATATTTTCAAAATACCCTGAGGCTTGGGGAGTGATGTGGAACAAGAGTGAAGCACAAATACAAGCATCACTAAACTCAAACTTTGGACAAGTCTCTATATCTAGATCTGTACCAGCAGCTCCTCCCACACGAATATGTGAGTCCCACATAGCAGCTGTTCATGTCTGAAGTTAGAAAATGGCATTTGGGCTAAAGAGTTGCAGTTCACATAAAGGTGTGACTTACCAGACCCTTGACTGTCCTCATGCACGTTCCACTCAACAAGGATGGCGCCAGCTGTAGCTCCTTGAGCAGTGAACATCATATCAACTATCTCCATGTCACCTACATCACCTTTCTCACCAACTTGCACTACCACACGTGGATTATGAATATCATTGAAGTAAAACCCAGCTCCTTGTATCTGTGACCAACTCGCACCTTGCACTCTAGAGCCTGTTGGAATGAATACAGTGCCACCAACTCTGTAGACACCTGCTGGGAAGTACGCAATTTTGCGTTCCTTTTTGGCCTTCTCAAGAAAAGCATTAATGTCTCCTGTATTATCCCCGGTTCCATCATTCTTGCAGTCATGTTCGGTAGCAATCAGAAATTCGTCTACCTTGAGGTCCTCGTATTGAGGGCGAGGTCGATAGAAGAGCTTGCCATCGTCATCCAGCAGGCGCTTTCCTTTTTTAGGTGCATCAACTTCACCTGAAATGTAAGTTCCATTGTATCCATCATAGCGACGTCCCATTGCCCAGAGGCCAACATGATTAGTGCCATCGAGAATGACATCACCATCATCACTCTTAACTGTTGTTCCGACTCTGTTCATCTTCAAATTGTCAATGACAATGTTAGGGGGCCCATTGATCCCATCTTTCCGAGAGTTGGTCAAGATAGCAATTGGGCAATTGGATATCACCGAATCTGCTTAAGTCAGCTCAGGTTTAAACGTACATGTACATTGCTGAGTATTTTAAACATACCAATGATAGAAACCGAACCTACACCCTGGCCAGTGTCACCACCCCTGCCACTAATATTGAAGGCAATGGCTCCACCATCAACCTCAATACGTTGCCAATTGAATCCCCAGTCCCAAATCATTTGAACTGCAGTGAGGCAACCATTGAATTTGAGATTCATTGCTGTATACTGCTGGGAGCCTGTCACAAGAGCCGTATTAGCGGCGACACAGTTAAATAACTAATCTAGAAGCTCAGAAGGTAATTTACTTACCAGCACGCCAGCCAATATTCCCCCCATTGAATACCAAGTCGGAGACAAATCCCCCACTACCATTTTCCATGAAAATGCCAACATGAGTGACTTTGTTACTGTCAGTCGCTTTAGGCATGTTGAAGACCAAATTTTGCAATGAGCAAGCCTGAGAGACCTGCCAATGGATACCTGTTGGTACAAGCGGCTGGTCATGGTCAGCCGTCGAGAGAGGCATCTCAGTTAGGTCAAAAATAAAATTCCGAATTTGACGGAAGAACTGATTCTGGTTGATGTACCAATTTTGACCATTACCATTAGGAACATATGGATCTGTATCAAAAAGGGCAATGCCTTGAAAGGTATCACACCCTTTGATTGTAGGCGGGTCCAAAGCATCACCAATGAACTGAGTATAGTATAGCTGAATGATAGGGCGGCAGATTTTATATGTTCCCGGCTAGAATAATAGCAAAGATTAATTTAAGACTAATAGACATGTACAGAAGAGAAACCCACTTACAGGAAAATAGATGATAGCGCCTTTTGCAAATGTATTCCCACATTCCAATCCGCATCGGTCGCCATCTTCAATTGCTGCATTTATTGCCTCTGTTGCATCTTTCTCACCTGTATTATCAGCACCATACTCCACAACATCTCGGTAAAACTTGTAATCGGCTCCAGCAAGGGGTTGCTATAAAACTAGATTAGCTCAGCAGAACAACTCAGTGGAAAGAAAGCACTTACAACTCCCAAACGGGCAAGCTTCGGCAACCAGTAGCTACTAGCAGCAGTAGTGTTTGGAGCACTTCCAGCAGCTTTGTTTAAGTCCTCAGAAACATCAACAGAGGCGCGATTAAGTTGTTTTAAGTGCTGTGACATGTAGGCCTCAAAACTACCAGACTCAACCCATACTGGCCCATTTTGTTCTCCTAGTACAAGGGTTAATGCCATATTCATAAGGATGCGCGTTGATCAATAGTCGGTGGGCCGGCACTCACCTTTGTCTGGTGCAGTTTTGTAATAATTGTGTTGGTTGTCCACCATGTATGGAGGGTTGGGCTACCAGTTGTTGTCAGCCAGGCTGCCCGGTCAAACAGCAAGTAGTAAAGTCTTTCTATTACCTGTGGTCCATAACTTGGAATGTTCGGGAATTTTGCGGGATCGTATAACAAGTTAGCCTGTCCTGCCACGAGGGACAGAAATCCAAGAAACAACGCCAAAGAATTCATATCCTATGGGTTCAACAAAGCTCTCTCTGATTAGCAAACGACTTTCTACCTCCCATCTAGAATGCGGCTAATCCAATTCTTATCTTCATTGCTTCATTTTTCATCGGTGTAAACCCCGCTTTAGCCACAACGGTATATTCCATCGAAAATCGTGAATCCTCGAGCACAATCTCCGAATATCCATGGCAATTTCCCTGTACGTTACAGTAGCCTGTCGAGAGTGATCCCTGGACTGGGAATACTCGGATATTAATATTGTCTTGAAACATTTCGATGGCGGAGACATGAACGATGAGGTTGCAGAGGGTAGTTGGGTATCTGACAAGCGAAGGATCAGGAAAGCTGACAATATCGACCGTGAAGGAAGGTTTGCGGAGCGGATGTTGTTGGGAGGGATCCAGCAACGCCAAGTCGCACCTACCTAGCCAGCCCTGTCCATGTAACTGCGTACAGTATGCACGGCCTTCCTATCTAGATTTATTTAGTACTCCGAATGGTCGCAGGACGCTAGGAAAATACATAGTAGGGCTTCTCTGTAATTTGATTGTGTATTGGTTTCGTATATATCACATATAAATTACATATCTAATCAGATCAATCTGAAATTCAGATTATATAATATGAAGGTTTTGTAGAGTCTAGCCATTTAAGGAAGGTGATGCGACGCCGACTATCTGTGAATGCCACATCCAGATCAGTGCGAAAACATCGTTGTCGGAACTAACAAAGTCCGAATATTGTCCCAATTACTGAATATCAATAAAAATAATTGAATTGCTTGTCTTCTGATAATTACATGACAATTAGGCAGTATTTATAAGAAAAGCCATGCTCAAATATACACAAGAGATAGCACTGAGAATCAGTGGGGCATTGCTTGATTTCATCAAGTAAGATGTTCCAGATTTCAAGTTGCTATAGAATCCTTGATAATCAAACTTACCAAGTTCTATAGAACTTACTAAGTTCTTGACAATCGTACATACAGATCCACAGGTGTGATAGTGGCTTATGGTAGCTTGCACTAAAATACCCCCTAAAACGCCATTACTCCGACCTTGAGAAGGCTGATTGCAGAATCCATGTAGAAGCAATTCTTTCAGTGCTGATGCATTTTCCTCTCTCGCGGCATGTATGCACTGAATCATTGAAACTACCACAAGATATCTTAGAAGCAGCAGATATTCGGGACGACTCAGGGGCTTTGTCCGATAATTTGGGGGGGGGGGATCAGGAAGGAAGGAGATATATATGTACTGTGCCATCGCAAGAAAAAAAAAGAGTCCGCTGACAGATTGCAGTTACATCCATGGGGCATTATTGAACACCTCATTACCGCAGAGACTGGGCTGTTGTTCGAATCAAATCCTGATATTCAGCTATCTGCCCGCCCCTCTTCTTTCTGTGGGAGCCTGGTCCCGGTTGGTTATGAAGTCGGGGTCTTACATACATACATAACTACTGTCCCTAGGGAGTAAGTAGCCGACCAGTACGGCATCCGGCTTAGGGTCTGACAACGGGTGCGGGAATGCGGGAGTCACTCCCGCACGAAAGACCTCGACCTTAACAGAGTCTATATCGAGTCATCGACATTGCAATGTCTGCATGTATGTGGTGAGATCGACGAAGTTAAACGGTTCTTATGTCAGACCAATCCTGCTGATTGGCCAATTCCCCTGCCAACCTTCTTAGTCCCCGGCTTTAGATTAAAGAGGCGCCGACTCCCTGCTGTCGCGCAGCTCAAGTTGCCGAATGCCGAATGGACCTATATCGTCAACCTATATGGACGAAATGTCATAATACCCCTGCCTATAAAACTTCAGAGCGACCCCCAGTACTACTATGGATGGGCTGGGCTGGTCTTCTGACTTAGTTAATCTTCTTGATCTCGGATCTCCCTCAGATAACTATTCTGCGCCGCTCAGCTGTCCAATACTCTCCATGGTTGAAATAACATCCTTTCATGGATCCCTACTTGTGCTGAACGAGGGCCTGACAACTTCTTCAACGTCACATCGCTGCTGCATTCAAAACTCGCCGTGAACAGAATTTGGGCCGTGCCAGCATGGAGAGTGTTAGGCGGATGGATGTACTATAAGTACCCCTCCCCGCGGATTGATAATGGATGCCTCTTGTTAAATGGGAGTAGAAATACAAACCGCCTTGATCCCACCTCTCTTACATCTGTGCCCACAAACTCCGGTAACATGTTGTTTTCCACAGTCTTCCTCAAGTATGCTGCTGTCCTCCTGGCCACGCGAGCTGCCGCCCTGCCGACGACTGTGACTGGCTTTGAGCCCGAGCCTCGCCATATCTGTTTTGATGAAAATCCCAAGCTGCATTGCTATAATGGAAAGAATGACATCCCGCAGAATGTCGCAGCAGAAGATGTCAGCTTCATCGCAAGCTATCTGCATGCCTATGGTCGGCAGACTAGAATTGGTCGATGTATGGGCTAATAAATTCCTTATTATTCATGTACATGTGCTTGGGCTGCGATCGTGCCCAACAGGCTTGTTAAAGATGCCAAAATTGAAGCAGATTTGCTAACCCGTCTACTAATAGTGTTCACCATGAAGGCGGCCGATGCGCCTGACTGTGGAGAATGGGTTCTGTATTCGCGTGGCACAGCAGCAGCCTACGCCAAAAAGATCAACATGACATATGACTCGTCGATCCTTTTTGCCGATATTGCAGACACCATCGATGGTGGCAAGAAGCCGGGGGCCGACAGCATCCTCAAGTGCGAAGCTGATGGTGGTTCCCTTGGTACACAGATCGCAGATCTGGCTGCTCCAGCGTACTTGACTAAAGAATATATCGACGGCCACTTCCAGCCAGGCGGCATTATCATTAAGATCGTATCAAACATCGTATCAAACAAAGAGCTTTAGCTTGCGAAGAAAATCGTTAACAGGCTTTCTCTTATACGGGATGTATGGTCGTGAAAACTTGACTCCGGTGGCTTAAATGGGTGGCTGTTATTGGAATTATCACTCTCGGGCCTAAAGCCATTATTTCATTCGTTGGAGTTTAAAGTTAAATTCAGTTTAGCTCCATGGAAGGGTGAAAATATCATGAATAAAGTTTATACTAAGATAAGCTGCTTCTCCAGCCAGTAAATAAAACTACCACTGCCTCAGTGCCCTACATATACTAACTACACTCAAAGAAATGCAAACATGTCAGAACAGGGAAATCCAAGGAATCTAAAACGGGGTATCATACAGAACAAAGTGGAGTGAGTAATCTAAGCAGGGCATAGAGCTATATGCCCGGACTAGCACCCCACGTTTCCCACATCATTCCATCCCATCCCTCCCCACGCTCAACAAACCCCCCTAACCAGCTCCGCCGGCACAAGCTCCCTCAAAATCGCCTCCAACCTCCCCGCCCCATCCTTCCCAACAAGAAGCGAGTAATGATCCACCCCTTCAAACTCCTTCAGAACGCAATGCGGTATCCTTTCCGCCATATACCTGATCATCCTGATGGGCGAATTCACATCTGCGGTCCCATGCCACATCAGCACGTCGTGAAAGTTTACATCCTCAAAGCGGAACCCCCAGTCACCAGCCGACAGAAGCTGCGTTTCCTGCACAAAACCCGCACTGCCATTGGCAAACGGTTCGAAGATGAGTTGGAGGAATTGCTCGCGGCGTTCTTTATCATTACTCGGTTTGCTGCAATCGGCATCGGCATCGGCATCGTCGTCGTCATCGTTGGTCGGTGTGGTCGTCGCGATGACTGTCTGACCAGTCTTCCAGCTCTTCTTGCCCTCTTGCACTTTCTCTACTTCCCCCGAACGACCCTCAGCACCCTCGACGCCATCAAGCCACCGATCCAACCACCTCTGAACCACCCACGTGCCCACCACCCACCGACCCCGATTGTCCAGAAAATCACTCACCCCTTCCAACCCCGCAGGCCACCTCCTCGCTACCTTAGCAAGCACCCGCCTTGACATTGAAATACCAGCCTCAGCAGCATCAGCAGCACCCCACCACGGCCCCGCCCCCGCCAACACCCTTACGCCCACCAACCTCCCATCACCCGCAAGCACACCCCCGTCTCCCTCGCACACGCAAGCGCACACGGCCCACCGCCAGACCCCCCCAAAACCGCAAACCTCGCCAGACCCAGATGGTCCACCAGCGCCCGCACGTCGGCCGGCCAGTCCATGATGCGGCGGCCGGGTACGTAGGTGGAGCGGCCGAAGCCGGGGTAGTCGGGGGCGATGACGCGTAGGTGTAGGCGGTGGGCGGGCGGGGTGAGGGCGCGGGCTTCGAGGCGGTAGGAAGGGTAGCCGTGGAAGTAGAGGAGGGGGAAGCCCGTTTGCGGGCCGTATTCGGCGAACGCTGAGGGTGCGGGAGGGCGCGGGGGACGAGTGGAGATTGGGGATTGTGAGGGTCTGGTTGGTTTGTCGAGATTGTGGCGATGATGATGATGATGGCGGGGGGGTTTGGAGGGTGGATGCATATCTGCTTGCAACAGAGGGGGGATGGTGTGTGGTGGAGGCCGGGAAAAGGCCCTTTGCCCAAGAGTTGGTAGTCGTTCTCATTGTTTGTAGTTTGGATTTTTGCTTGATCGATCGCGAGCCGACGGCTGGTAAGTGTGTAGGTGCCATATACCGAACAGAGGCGTTCACGCGTATATTATTGAACAACGCCCTTCAGGTGTGTGTCAGTCAAAGCGGGCGATTGGCATAAATAAGGAGGTAAATTCGTAGATATCTGTATATCCAAGTCGATGGTCCGTCCACGCCTCGTCGAAGGTTCACCCCCTTATCACATCGACGCCTCAACATGCATTAACTTAGACAGTTGAGTGTCGTAGCTAAAGCTTAGCCGTTTGGGCTCTCGATTCCTATTGCAGACTAGCGTTTACATGCAATCAATGCGACACAAATTGTAATGCTGCGCCGTTTCTTGGCGCAGGGAGTGCGTGTTTCAATTTATGCATTTCTGTAATTCGATTTTCTACATTTGTGTTCTTCCATCCTTTTATTCAGATTAACGAATTCCATCTTCCGCATGAAATATCAGAAGTCTAGAGTGGGGAAGAAGAGAAAGCAAGAGAAACTTGAGAAGAAGCAAGAATAGATGAAAAGATTCTGTAGTAGATTAGGCTCAATTTGAAACCACACTAAGTTCTTTTTGGAAAGTAAATCTAGCCTAGGCTTTCACCTCATCCCATAGCGATCCATCGTGTTTTGAAACTGGGCTATTGTAGTTCTTGAACTATGTCCGGGGTAGCAGGGGTGTTCAGGGCTGATCATTTTGAAAGTTCAGCCCCACTGAAGCCATTCCATTTCTATATTAGCAAATGCAAGCGTTGCTAAATTACTTGTTTAGAAAGCATGCATTCACCCTAATATTTCTAGCCATCATGCAATTGAGAGTACCCCTGCCACAAGAAATTCTTAGAATTAACTTTTAGAGAATTGGCTTGCAGATCCTTTTGACTTACAGATCTTTTTATGCTTTTTTAATAGTTAATTTAAGTTTGCAGATATTTTTTCATGACCCTGTTTCTTTCTATCTTATTACACTTGCAGTCATTTTAAGCTTGTCAATTTTCAAAAATTTTCAAACCTAGAAAAAGCCATCAGCTGTATTTGTGAACATACCAGTTCCTTGTCACACAAAATCTTAAAGTTATGATTCTGTAACTCTAAATTTTTATTATGAATCATTTTTTTTAAAAAATTATAGCTGATATCAACTCTTCACTAAATATGAATGAACAAGCAGTTCTCTTCTTTAGCCTTTAGTCTTGTCATTGGTTTTGTCTTCTCTTTGCAGCTGTCAGGGATTACGGTGCAGAAAGATAGGGAATAAGTTCAACATTTATGAAAAGTGAGTGCGGCCGGCCTTTCGAAAGTGCTGGCATGTTACCTCGCAATTGCTACTTGGACTAAGCCAGACTCACTAGGATGGCGCTGGCTTTTCCTACCTCATGGGAGACGACAGGCTCTCCTCTCAAAATCCGGCTCCGAACCAAGCGCCAAACAAACGCAAAGGCTCTCCACCACTTCCAAGAGATCTCTCCCTTCTCGCCATCGTGAACTCGGGCGGTGACTCATCCAAAACCACTCGACTTGTCTAGCATTTGTATCGAATGACAAACAATAGCTCCTCCACAAGATGTACGTGCTTGACACAGCCTCGTTAAAATCGCAAGGGATGCAAGTTGGAATATATAGGGTGGCACAAAAGTTATATGATCCTATTATCAAGGCGTATGATGATACGATAGCTCTGATTGAAACCGAATAGGTTTAATGGTTGCTCTGTTCTAGCGAATAAGTAGTATATATGTTAGCCCAGCATAATCTAGTTTAAAAATGATATATAGGCCCAGCAAATATGTTGAAGCAAATGCCAAGATACGCTAGCACAAACATGGCTTGATCCAAATACCACTCTAACTGTATCGTTTCTTTGTCAGGTCAACTGCCCTGGCTTAGTAATCCTTCCACCATATAACTTGCCACGAAGCTAGCAATCCTTCAATCAAGCAAGCTTTACACCTTCCACAGGTTATGAGGCCCGTTTTGCGCACAACGCTGCCAATTCGGGATTCCTTGTCGATATAATCATTATTTAACTACTGCTTCATTCGATACGCCTTTCAGCGTTAAAATCGTCTTATTACACCCCTTTTGACGCGTTCTAGAATTCTTGTTTTGATTCTACGCCGCTGCTCGCTTAGAGAAGCTTGCAGGGTGGAACGCACCAACGTTGCAAAAAAGCAAAAAAGACAACACCCGATTGGCGACTACGACGCCACCGAAAGCTTATATTGGCAAGGACCTGATCCAAGAAGCCCTTAATAAGAAAAGAAAAGATTCAAGATGGCGGATCCTAGGCCCCATCGAACGCACCGTGTTACACGCTCGCAATCTCGCGTCCTGCCCTCTGGCTCAGTAGTGGCGGATGATGATATTCCCCCACGCCCAAGCTCTGCTCACGATCGCCCGCCAGGAGCATTTGAGAGCTCTATTAATGAGCCCGATCCTCCTGAAACGCCGTTCCGATTCGAAGCTGGATTGAATACAGCTCCTGACACAGTCAGGCCTGCGGCCCGACCTACCCAACCTACCCAATCTACCCGAACCACCCGACAGCTCAGTGAGGCTGGTTCTCATCATGATGAGGCGGCTCGACGTTCTGAGGCCTTGCTTTCCGACGAGGTCTTGTCGGACGTGCAATTGCAACGCCTCATGATGACCTTTGAGATGGAGAAGGAGAGGCGTAAGATCATGGAGGAAAAACGGAAGGCTCTGGAAATCGAGTTAAAACTAGAAGAAATGCGTGCTCGCAGAGCCGCGAATAACCCTCAGAATGCTGATAATAATACACCGACTACTCCTACAGCCCGAACGCACACATGGGACCCGGATCTTGGTGAAAGATTGGAGTATAACCTCTATGATCCGGACAGCCGTGTCGGCAAGGCAATCGCCCAATTTAAAGAAGATGTAAAATCAATGACCAAGCCGAACGCTCTGACCGGCACGTCAAATTTCCTCACATGGAACGCGTCAATGAAGACCAAGCTGGTTGACGCGCAGTGCTGGGGTATAATAGAAAAGCAGCAGGTTCAGAACCCCCTGCAGGACCCCGAATGGGCTCCCTTTTGGGACGCCCGAAACCGTTGGACCTACGCGTTCATTTCGAACTCTTTGGGTGCGAACGTCAGGCCACGTTTCATAAAAAATGATGAGAATAGGATTGCTTACACCCTCTGGCGGGCAATTGAGGAGGAATACTCTATCCCCAAGACCCAGCTCCGCCGAGAGGCAGTCCTAGAATTCACATCGCTTGGTGGCACTCAGGTCACTAACGTGCACAGTTTCTTTGATAAGTTCCGTGCCGCGATCATGAAGTTGGAAATGATGGATGCTCACCCGCCTGACGCGTGGGTATTTGACATATTCTATTCCGCCCTTCCGAACGTTTGGAGGGGTTATGTACAGAAGAAGATTGAGGAGGCCCAAGAGTCCAAATCGACACCGGTTGTATTGGACGTTCACCTTCTCATGGAGGAGATCCGATCTCGATTGGACCCTCCAAAAGATAAAAAGCCCGCACAATCGGTGGATACAGCTGCCAACGCTGCCCAATCGGGGGCCACAGCAGCTGCCGATTCCGCGAACAATAATAGCGCGAATACATCTAACTCGGCCCGTGGAGGTCGTTCCGGACGCGGTCGTGGCGGCTCCCGCGGCAGTGGCCGTGGTGGAGCTGGCAATCCGCCGACCTGCTCCGAGTGCAATAGATCCCACTTCGGCACTGTCTGTTGGTTTACGAATCCCGACCAGGCGCCCGATGATTGGAAGGCCAATAATGCTACTAAGTTAAAGGAGTTCAAAGAGAAGAAGGAGAAGGCGAAGAAGGATAAGGACAATAGTGGGGGCAAGACCCAGTTAGTGATTACGGACGGGTCAGAGTCCTTTCAGATGGCGAACCTTGCAAAGGTTATAAACGTGCCGGCCTGCTTTGTGGAACCCCACAAGGAGCCCCTAACCATATGGGATAGCGGCGCTGGCTGCCATATCGCGAGCGATAGATCACGATTTTCGACGCTTTTTACGATCGACGGTCCTACGGTCCAGGTGGCCAACAAGGCCGTTCTGAAGGTCCAAGGCGTCGGCATGGCGTCCATCCCAGTCGGCGAGAGGTTGATTGAATTCAATCACGTATACTACGTGCCAGGACTGTCAGCTAACCTCATCTCCGCTGGGCTTATGGAACGCCAGGGCTATATTCGCCGTGATATGCACGTTGACGCTGGAAATTATTTTGAGTTCCTGTCCCCTACTGGCAATGACGTGTTCTATGCCAACCTTTCCCGCAATAATATTTACATCCTCTCCGACAGTCCTCCGACGTTTGACGGCGTTATGAATGACCAAGAATATGGGGCGGTCGCGTACGTGGCTGTTCCGAAACCAAAGACAATTTCAACGGATTATGATCCGAACGCAGGGTCCCTAGGGCCGTTCAACCGTGAGGAGGTTGAGCAATTGATTAACCCCAAGGATCCGGATACGGATTCCTTCGTCATATCCCCACCTAACCGACTCCCTGCCGTGGTCCCGAAGCAACTGCCGTTTGATGAATGGCACCGTAGATTGGGCCATATCGGCGAAAATAATATATTGAAGATGGCCAGGGACCCTCGCTTCGGAATTGCCATTATCGGCCCGAAGAAGTTGTCATTCTGCGCCACGTGCGTCAAAGCCAAGCAGAGGCGCGCTACGTATAAGAATTCCGCACCACGCCGTGCCACTCGCAAAGCTCTTAAGATTTGGGTGGATATTTTCGGCGGAGGTGAGACCCTAGGAACCGAAAATGACATATCCTCCTACGCCGGCAAGAAACTTGCCATGGTCATTACAGACGACGCAACGCGAATGAGATGGATTTTCCTACTGGAACGCAAGGATGAGACGTTGAAATATTTACGAATCTTCAACCAATTCATCAAGAACCTGCTGGGCCGTGGCATCGCGATTATACACTCCGATCGCGGCGAATTGAATTCGAACGCGGCTACGGCATATATGCTTAGCGAGGGGATTAAGTGGGAACCCACTCCCCCCCATACTCCACAACAAGATGGGGTATCCGAACGTTCGATCGGGTTAATTATTGAAAAAGCCCGATCGCTATTAATAGACTCTTCCGCTCCCGAAAAGATGTGGGGTGAGGCGGTTATTGCGGCCACGGAGCTGCTCAATCTTATGCCGACCTCCACGATTCTATATGGCGGTCCCGAAAATATGAAGCCGATTACCCCATATGAGGCATGGCTTGGAGCGCTCCCGTCGGCCCGTGGAATCCGCCGTTGGGGTTGCAAGGCGTTCCTGAAAATAGCCCCTAAGCCCACGAATAAGATGGCTTCCCGCTCATTAGAGCTAATTTTTGTAGGTTACGATGGCTTTACCAATTACAGGTTGGTTGACCCTTCCAATGGGCGTCTATATATATCCAAAGACGTCATTTTCCAGGAGGATCTTCACCTTATGGATCCGTCGGCCCCAGCCACTGGGCACCCGAAGACCCTACCCACGGCGGCCCGTCAGGCGGCTGCAGCGATTCCTTCGCCGATTCCTTCGCCGACTCCTGGCCCGATTCCTTCAGTTAATGACCTATTCATCGATGAAGAAGTCCAACCCCTCCGTCCGCTATTCCTAGTTCCCACCAATAATTGGTGGATAGACTATGAAATATCAGCGAGAATACCGACCTTTTTGGTGCAGAATACACCGATTTCCCCTAGCCCTCCTATTGAGATTGAGGATACCCCGACAATTACAGGGAATAACGATTCAGTGGGGGAATCTTCAGTGGGGGACGGTTCCGATGATCTGCCTTCCGATCCCGAGATATATGGGTTGCCGATTCCGAAGAATCTCACGCGCGCTAAGGCTTCCCCTGAGTGGAAGTTCTACTATAAGGCCTGCGTTAAAGAGGTTAATCGCTTAAAGCAAATTGGGGCCTGGCGATTAATTGAAAGAACCCCTAATATGGCGGTCCTTCGGGGCCAATGGGTGTTCGACAAAAAGTTCAATAATATGGGCAAAGTAGTCCGCTATAAGGCCCGCTGGGTGGTCTGCGGCAATTATCAACAAAAGGGTGTCAACTATTCGAAGACCTTTGCACCCGTTGTTTCCGCCTCCACGTCCCGAGCTCTCATGGCAATCTCGGCATCCCGAGGGTGGCACGTTCTGCAAATCGATATGGTAACCGCGTTCTTGAACGCCCAACTGCCGGCCGACGAACGGATATATATGAGCCAGCCTACGGGCTTCCGTGAAGGTCGTGGCGATCTTGTTTGCGAATTAATGCAGGGACTCTACGGTCTTAAGCAAGCAGCGCTTTTATGGTATGAGGAACTGCGAAAAATGCTATTGCAGTCAGGCTTCCGTGTCAGTCCTTACGATGCTGGACTGTTCATTCATGACGCGAGAAAGGTCTATATGACTGTATACGTGGATGACGTACGCCTATACGGCCCGAAGATCGAAGATCTCAACTGGGCCAAGGCCGCAATCGCCGCTAATTACGAAATCAAGGATGTGGGCGATTCGAACCGATATTTGGGCATGAAGATTGAGCGGGATTCGACCTCCCTTACGTTGTCCCAACCCCTATTTATTACGAATCTTCTGGAGGAATTCGCTATGGATGACTGCCACCCTACGTCTACTCCCATAGAGGAGAACGTTGATTTCATGAATGACAATGAGGAACCGGTCGCTTATACGGCGGAATTTACCCTACGCTCCTATCAGTCAGGCATTGGATCCCTGCAATACCTTGCGACCAATACACGTCCTGACGTTAGCTTTGCAGCAGGCTTTCTAGGCCGATTCAGCGCCCGCCCTACCTCGAAGAATTGGGCCGCTTTCAAACGTACGCTCCGCTACTTGCAGGGCACGATTAATGCGGCTATTTTAACCTACTACAAAGACGCCGATATCGAACCCGTGGCGTACGCCGATGCCGATTGGGCCGGTAGGGATCCGGGATCCCGCTCAACTACCGGCTACATCATATATATGGCGGGGGGCCCCGTCGCCTGGCGAAGCTGCCGGCAGACAGGGGTCTCCAAATCATCAACCGAGGCCGAATATATCGCATCCTCCGAAGCCGCATATGAGCTCATCTGCCTACGGGAGCTCCTAGAAGATGCCGGTTTCGTGCCGTCCCGCCTCAATAATCTGGATGCCGACGATCACCCCAACCCACCTCCGGCGAATGGCCTTGCTTATACGATTCATGCCGATAACAAGTCTGCCATCGAGCTATCCTCTTCCGAAGCGATTCCGCGCCGATCGAAGCATATAGAGGTCCGATTCCATATCCTTCGGGATCTCGTCCGCAAGAATGAGATATCGATCCGGTACGTCCCATCCGCCGAGAACGCGGCAGACGGGTTAACCAAGCCGCTCGGAATGTTGAAATATACACGTTGGAAGGAGATTATTAAGATGAAGGGATAGGGGGGTAAAAATTGATGGATTTGATGGCTGGTTTTTTTTTTTTAACTACTTCGTTTTTCCAGTTGTCTTTGTACCTGTACTTGATTTGAAGGCAAATTTTGTATGTAGCATTGTGTATAGTTACTATGGTGAGTGGGGGTGTCAGGTCAACTGCCCTGGCTTAGTAATCCTTCCACCATATAACTTGCCACGAAGCTAGCAATCCTTCAATCAAGCAAGCTTTACACCTTCCACATTCTTCATTACATACATCTTAGGTACTTGTGGTACAAAGCCTAGTAGAAGATTCGATGCAAACCAGGTAAACAATTCAAATGTGTACCTGGAAGTTCTGGCTTCGCTTAGATTTATGGGTATTTTGTAGCAAAAGTATTAAAAATTATGAAGGGCCAGAAAATATGAAGGGATATGGTTCATTTGATTGGTATTTCGTGTATATGCTCGTGGCAAAGTGGAAGAAGAGATTGTAAACATACAGAGGGATAATGAGGTGATGGAACACAACCACGGGGACGTGGGGAGTATTGGTGGATGCAAGAGAGAAGTATGGGGCTACGGGTCTTCTGGGCTAACCGTGCTGTGGACATGGTAGGCGTGGCTCTGAAGCTCCATCTTGCTCTCGAGGACCACTTCACAGCGCGGGCATCTGATCGTGTCTCCAGGCTTGATGCACTGGAGGTGTTTTCGTCCGAGGTGCTTGGTCACCCCACCGTGGGTAGAGAATTTATCCAGGCAGATGAAGCAGTAGAGTGGCCGATGGTGCTTCATCACGGCCTCCGCTGCGATCTCCCTCTGGCTGGGAGCTGGAGGAACGTGCACCTCCACCCTGACTTTCTGAAGCGCCAGGGTGGTAGGTCTCTTGTCGTGCGGCAGTCGGGATGTATCCCCCTCCTCGAAGAGAGAGTATTCCGCAACCGCGTCCATCGACTCGGTGCGTCGAAGCATCTCGTCCCGCAGCGTCTCGCAGGGGAGGGTGAGAACCGCCGAGGTCAGTCGTTTGTGCGGCAGCGGCGGCGCACTCCCATTGGTGTTCAGAGACTCATTGAATGCCTTTGAGACCTCGATCCCGGACAACTGTCGTTTGATCTCGCGCAGGGGCTCCTCGAAGTCATATTTTCCCTGTATGTCACGGAGAAGTTCGTCCCTCGCCCGCTGGCGTGCGCCTGCCAGCTCACGGCTGATCTTCTTGTGGAGCTCGTAGGCGACGGTCCCTTTGTGCCGCTTGAGTGGTCGCCCAAGACGTCTGCTGAGCATATCGCGTTTCCGGATAAGCTCCTGGATGTGGGGTTGCCGGTTGACCGACCTCGACTGGGCCGTGGTCAGTTCCTGCGGCCGGCGCGGATCGACGGAGCGCAGCATCCGCAACGCGGCGTTCATGATATGTTCCTGCGGGTCCAGACCCTGCACGATGGAGCGAATGTCCTTGGTAACCTTCCTGTGGAGGTAGTATTTGATGAACGTACGCGGGTCCGAGTGCTGGAAGATCAGACTGCGAACCGCTTCGCTGATGTGCCCTGCAGGATAGAAGACGATGAGTAACCGGTGATCGGAAGCTTAGGGTCATTGGCCCCGGGAAATCGGGACCTACCGCTGTCATCTAGCGCCTTGCCGGCGCCATATCGCAGACTGTACGGTCGAACGATGTCACGGAACGCGGCTATCTCCCCGATCCTCTTGATCCACAGGTTGATGGTGGCGTACGTCAGAGCTTCAGTGGCGGATATCTCGATCCCTTCCAGCGTCCGCTCCGACTTCCGGAACACCGGGACATCGTCCAGGGCCGGGTCCAAGTGGAGCTCGAGCTGGTTGATACCTTCCGGTATCTTCAGGTCGATGAGTTGTCGTGCCGAAGTGAGAACCCTCTCTCCGCCTAGAAGGGCGAATGCGCGATCGGCGAACAGGAGCCCCAGGAGGAAGACATGTGGGCTGAGGATCAGAGACGGATCGAAGATGATCTCCGGGACGACGAATGTGGTCCTAGATTCACAGGCGAGCGAGTCAGTCACATTTCGCCGCAGCAGGTCAGCGCGGACGCGTCCACGTACTCCTCCTTGTCTCCAAGGAACGTTTTGGCGAATTCAACAGTGAACTCGATCAGTATGTTATTGGGCCCGCCGTTGGGGTCCCTCAGGAGGGTTATCTTGATCTGCCGGTAGCACAGATTCAGCAACGCCTGCGGTCGATTGGCTGAGAATCCGGCAAGCTGGAAGTACAGGCAGAGTACGATCCGTTGCCGGCCGTGACCGAACTTCTTCTTGGTGGTGGTGAGGGTCGTTTCGACGATCCTAACGAGGTCGTCCAGATAGACAACCGACTTCTTCCGGCGCCCCTTCTTGAGACGATACAGCTTCGCCAGTTTTGGGATCACCTTGAACGCAAGCACGGAGGCCCCGGGTCAGTACCCGTGAAACGATTCAGAAGGGGGGATTTGCACACCTTTTTGATCATCCTCCGCGACGTCTCCCGGTCAATCTTCTCCTGCATCTCCCTCTCGTAGACCAAACGGAAGATCTTCCAGTACGTCTCCAGGGAGCTCCGGTATTTGAGGCCCTGCCGTCGTCTCCCATTCTTGCCGCGACGTTGGTTCAGAACCCAGTTGAAGAAAGTGTAGAGCTTATGTACATCCATCTGCTGATACATCTCCTTTGGGTTCTGCTTGACGTAGGCGCAGAATCTGCATGATGAGAAATTAGGGGAGAGATATTGCAGCGGAGGCCCTCCAGACACTCACTTAAACCATTCCTGCTCGATGCGGTCAAGCAGTTTCAGAGAGGTAGGCGCGTATTCATCGTACTGGAGTAAGGATTCATCCAGGTTGTTCATCATTTCAATATAGTACTCCGGAGGATGCTCGTCGTCTGCCAGGAGCTCAGCCAGATCGCTGGTGTCATTCTTGCCGGTTTCCCCATAATCAGCCGGATCCGTCAGGTCGGTCTCTCCGCTGGAATCGGAGGCCGTGTCACTGCCATCATCACCATCATCATCATCATCATCATCATCACCATCATCCACGTCCATCGTGTCTTCCTCGCTGTCATCTTCGCTGTCGCTGTTGACGGGTGATGGCACGCCGCGTCGGCGCGCCATCCTTCGTCCCGCACACGACAAGCACGGAGAAGGGGAAGCGATAGGGATGGAAGCGTCAGCAATGGATGATTGAGGGTACAGAGAGCTCGTTGGTCGTGGTGGGAGGGTTGCAAGGGTGGGCAAGGGCGACTTGGTAGCTTGGGGGGGGCCGGCGAGGAGGTGGGAAGGCAGGTTGGAATTGTGAGGGTGAACGGATCACCCGCTGGAGAGAAGGGAGCCATGACTTTATAGTTAGCTCCGAGAAGGCCATATCTGGCCGGTTGGTCTCAAAATGGGTGAAAGGGTGGGTGAGTGAGTACTGATTGAAAGTGAGGATGCAAGCGCGCGTTCCAGGATCAAGCGAAGGGATCCATTTTCCGTACCTGGCCGCTGGGGCGTGGGAATTGAGCTTTCAGCTCGCAGGGGAATAAAGGAAGGTGCGTGGCGCGTGGCAGTATTGGAGAATCGCAAGCCTAAAGCGGCCATGAAGCCAGTCAACATCCGGCCTTCAGCTCACCGTTCAAATGTTTAAAGTAGTTAAATTTAAAACTTTTATTCAATATAAAAACTGGAAATGAATTCTTGATTGAATATTTGAAAGAATCAAATATTGTTATAAAATTTCAATTGAATAGTTTAATCTGATAATGAATTTCTTTTTTTTTCTTTTTTCTTTTTTCTTTTATTTTTATGTATTTGCTTTAATTTTTGTTTTTGTTTTTATTTTTATTTTGTTCCTTTTACTTTGAAATTTGTTTCATTTTGATTATTTTTAATTTTGATTTGTTTTGAAAAGTTTGATTTGTGAATGCTTTCTTTTTTTTAATAGCTGCTGTTTTTTTATATTTTTTATTTCATTTGTTTTAAATTGAATATATTGATTTGTTATCATTCTTTTGACTTTTTTTTTAAATTGAATAGTTTGAATAATTGTTTGATTCTGGGCTAGAATTCTGCTATTGCATGTATTAAATTAATCTTGTATATTAGCTTATTCTTAAGTTGAAAAATTCTGAAGTATTTCAGATAGATGTTATAGTCACTGACTGCATACATTTATAATGAAAGAATAATAATAATAATAATCAAATTCAAATCTGTTATCGAATTTAAATCTGTTGTCAAATTCAAATCTGTCATTCAATTTGAATCTGCTGTTGAATTCAAATCTATCATTGTATTTAAAATGATTCAATCTCTTAATTTGATAAATATGCAGATCTGTTTATTGATTAGTTTTTTAATTAATTGATGACAGAGAAATTTTGAAAAACAGAACCATTTTTAATTGCAAAAAGCATTATTTAAAATGAAAGATTTGAACTGAATTAAATATGAACAATGATAAATAAACAGATGATTCAGTTGAATATTGAAATGAATATATTTTTAATAATAAAAAATGAGTTAAAAAGCTCTATCTGACAATCACAGTTGAAGAAAATTAAATTATTATTATTTATTATTTATAATGATGACAGCAAAACTCATATTACTTCTGTTTCTGAATTTGAAATTTAAATATTATATATCATCATAATTGAATTGCAATCTGAATTTTTTTAAATTTTATAATATTATTTTATATGAGCAGATCTGAAATATCCTTTTACATCTTTTTCTTTTATAAAATTTTCAATTATGTGATGTAAAAAAATTTTAAAATTTTTATTAAATTGATTCTCTAACTGATATCAGTATCTTTTAATTTATTTTTTCAATGCATGAAATGATTTCTTTATAGAATTATAATCAAAAAAATATGAAGATAAAAATATAAATTCAATGTCAGCTTATTTACAGAGATTTTGCAATGTTTATAAATGATGAAAAGAGTAATTATTCATTATTAAATAATGATAATTTCATTGATATTTATATAATATTTATATATATACAAAATTCATTCAACCTCTCTGTATCATAAAACTTCTAATATATATCATAATTACAATATTCATTGATATTTATTACAAATAAAATTGATTATCTGTGAAATCATTTACAAAGTTTTTTAATGTGATAAAAGAATTCTCTACTTGATCATTCATATCATCAATTTACAATACATTCATTCACAGCATTTTCATTGAAAAAGATAAATTGATCAGATTTATATTGAGAAATTTAAATACATTATTTAATTCAAAATTTTTTATCACGTTGACTAATCACAGATTCAATTTATATTAAATAAAATTGATAAATTAATAGATTTTATAAATGATAATTGTAATAATTAATCATTTTCTTTCATATCAAATTCAGTTTCTTCAACAATTTAAATATTGATTGAAAGTGAATATCAACATCAAATTCATTCTTCATAAAGCAGACAGTTTTATTGCAATATGTAATTGAATATATTTTAAAAAAATTCTTCAAATCTGATAAAATATTTAATGTGATCTTTGATTTTATATCTCATATTGAATGAGAATTTCTAACAGTTTCAAAAGAGTGAATATTTTATTGAATTTAATATACAATGATCAGATGACATTCAATGATCCACATAATCTGAGCAGATATATAATCATTGTTTAAAAGATATACAATCTCATTGATGATAAATTCACTGAGTTGAAGATGTGTATTTACAGATTTGATGATAAAAAGGTGTGTATTTGAATGAATTGAATGATATTTGAATGATTCTAAAGATACATGGATATTTTGGTTATTTTTGCAGTGTTTTGCTACTATTTTTCAGGGGGTGGCAGAAAATTCTGTTTTCGCAAGCTTTACATCCGCCACAATATCACACGAACCGTTTCTGTCAGGTGACCATGAGGCTCTTGATGGCGACAGCGCTCAGGATCATTTCCAAGTTCCTCTGGCCTTACGCCCTCTTCCTGAAATTCGTACTCGCGAAGGAGTCCTCCTTCTTAGGCACCCTCCCTAGCGTTGGAGATCTGTTCACTTCCAGCATTCTTCAATAAAATCCCTAACCATGTCCTTTCCCAATTGTCTCCCAGCTGATTCCTACGAGGGTACGATCGACGACATTACCATCAAATGGGGCCCTAATGCCATCAGCAACCTTGCTGAGAATGCCAAACTATTCCAAGTGGAACAGACCTCCTTGAGGTGCCACTGAACATGTGGCTCACGCGAGCGCTAAACGACTTGGGAAAACCGGTGTTCGCATCCTGTATGCTGTTATCCATGTTCTAATATCTATTTTGAGTCTAGTATACTAATTGTCTTGTAGGGGCTCTTTCCATAACACGACAACCGTCACCGCAACCGGCGAGAAACTGCCAAACGAGCGTCATTGCACACTTTCAATGTTTCCAGGTCACGCCAAAGTCCATATTTACGTTGATCACACTAATAAGATGGCGCTCGACGACATGAAAAGTGCTAGGAGAAAGCGTAGTTCGACAAGGCAAATCTACCCCGGACCCAACCCTGTCCTCAGGCACCTACCCTTCTACGTGAAAGACATGGCAGCATTGCTCACAAATGATGACGATACCCTGTTACTGAGTACCTGAATGTAGGGAAGAAAGTAAAGGGGCTTAAGAATTGTTTACTGGAGTGATAGAGTGTAGCTTGTAATTGTTTGAAGATGAGTTTGTTGATGTTTGATGTTAATGTATATTGATAGATGCTGTTAATGAGTTCTACAGCCAGCTACTCTTAAGTTCAAATGCCAGCACTACTGCTGAGGATGAGACAATGTGAATCCCCCATATCCTTCGGCATTTGGTCCAATCAAGTGATAGCTGTACTAGATCTTTGCTGGTATTGAACCACCCATATCTGTTCACCAAACTGCTACTCCAGCCCCAATGGTATTAGAAGAAGACTGCGCATATATAAGTGAATTTTAGAATGCCATACAGCAGAAGTAGTTGAAAGAATGTATGTACATACAATCTGCAAAGAAACATGGTTTGAGATGAATGTCATAGATGTACTCCGTAGTGCAGACCGACAGCGCTACCCCTGGGCCAGATTTAATTAGACAGGCCAATCCAATGGAACTCAGCTAAATCAATACCGTCATATCTGCCAGCTTTAAGTGTGGCTGATGAGGTGCCCCTTCCACCCTGCAACCTCCACATTCAGGTCAAACGTGTTCGAGGGCTATGTTTTAGGAGTTACAACGCGGTTGGGAGAAGATAAAGAAACAGTTTATTCGTATTTTAGTATGACTGATTGTATGCATCACGGAACTATGACACTCTCTGGTCAAGCCTTCAATTTTATATTATTACATTCGAGGGCCACTGGCAATTTCCGAAATAAAACTAGTAGAAAATGCACCTACGTAACAGGAACGTCAATATTTTTGAATACTAGTATAACGGAGTTCAATTGTGATAAAAATGAAAAAATGATTGCGATTTATTTATGATTATACTTGGCAATCAAATAAAACCCTTCGCTATTCAATATTTAAACAGAAAACAATAAACGAAAAACAACAAGATAGAGGGGAAGATTCATGGGATGATGTGCTGTAATGTACTGCCATCTGGTATTATAACAGCTTTACCATACTTGGGTATAAATTTCGAACAACATATTACTTTGTTACGCTGGATGATATTTGTCATCATTCGTCCTGGCGGCTTATCATCAATACTAGCAACGGTCATCATCACCACCACCGTTCATCACGTCGAACATTAACAATGAAGGAAGCTCCTTTGCTACCCCTTCCAACAGATGCTGCATACCTACTTCTTCTATGAATCCAACCACAGCATGCTTTCACTAAATCAACCGACGATACCACTATTCTCTGTGGTTTGATCAGATAACAGCCGCCCTTCGAGACGCCTTGCACTTTGATGACAAGCCCCTCTGGTGCATTAACAGCGCCATAGTTTGGTTGGATGGCATTTCCCCCCATATTTTGCTAACGATGGGAAATATAAGCAGTAGGCCAGATGAGCCGGGGTCTCTCTATCTCAAGGACCAGACCAAGCGTACGTCTCAACCTTATCCTATCCTATGATTGTTCCTTGCTGGTTGGTGTTGACTCTTCTCTCTAATCTCCCACCACAGTAGCCATTGCATCTGTCGTCGTCACCAACTCTCGTGGAAATCTTCTCCTGAACATTGCGCCAAATCAATTCCCCTCGACGAGGATAATACCTAGGAGGGAATCGGGGGACGATAGACCCATAGAGTACATCCAGGTCAGTCTTGCCCCTCCTAATCCCCATTTCTTCCTCGTTTCTATTGCTCCGACACAAAAAAAAAAAAAAAAAAAAAAAAAAAAAAAAAAAACGCTAATACAGGCCAGCTATTGTAGGACCCAGAGTCTCCATCTACTGGATTACCCTCCTTTCTTCTAAAACTGTGTAATGATGATGAGTTAAATTTTCGCTTCACTTTTTTCCTTCGCCAGGGACAGACCAAGCAACCCGCACCTTTGACCACAAACGGCGTGGCGACTTGTCTTCCCGAGGCAATTGATACGGTTCTCACCGGTCTTACATTCGCTCACGCATCCAATCCGAGAGATCTGGATAACCTGGTAACGCGAGAGTTCCATGCCAACCCGAATTTACAAAACAACTCCAATGTAAAACATGTGGGGAATTTCTCGACTTCAGGGAGCCCGTCAATCCAATTTGACTGGTCGTGGAAATGGAAGCCTCCTAGGCAAGCGGAAGATAGATGTGGCGGTTGGCGCAACTGCTGTAGCTTTCTTGACTACGATCAAAGAACAAATCGACTCAACACGCTGGCAACATTTTCTTTCTGGGTTCAGAATGTGTCTCGACCTTCGTCAAGCCCTCAAATTCCTTCACCCCGATTCGACCTGACTGTACCCCCTCGCCATCGGGTGCCTTCCTCTCAATCCGTCCAATCTCGAATAAGCGACACTGAAGCTATCAACGATCTCCTACCCCCTCCAACCCCTCCTGAGTTTGGGGATAACCTGCAGACCCCACATCCTCTGCCAGCCCATAGCTCTGTAAAGTTAGACGTGACATGTCAGCGGCCAGGGGAGGATATGAGTGCAGTTGAAGATGGGCCTCTGTTCCGTGCTACAATGAAGGCCTTGGAACAAAAAACAGGCAATATGCGGGCCAAGATGAAAAAAGTTTTAAAAAAAGCTGAGGCTGCGCATCAAGCCCAAATCGCCTGTAACGACGCTGTTAGCGCCTTTATCACGGCCCTCAATGATGCGTCTCTGTCTAACGCGAATGCCATTCAGCCTGCATTAGAGCATTACTTTGACCGAATCGCCCGAGAAATTCTGAATTACGAGCAACAGAATACCGTACACCTCCAAAAACTCATCATCGACCCTCTTTCTAAGTTATATAACCATGACATCAAACAAGCAGAATCAAAGAAAAAGGACTTCGAAGAAGAGAGTAGAGATTATTATGCCTACGTGGGACGGTATCTTGGCCAGCGGCAAGATTCCCTGAAAGAAAAAAAACGTGCCGAAAGCGATTCAAAATACCAAACAAAAAGAAGGAATTTTGAGTTAAAACGTTTCGACTACTCATCATTCATGCAGGACCTTCATGGTGGACGGAAAGAACAGGAAGTATTATCCCACCTGACAAAGTATGCTGATACGCAAGCAAAGAGTTATTTGGCTGCAGCGAAGAAGATTGAGGAGATGATCCCACAACTGCAGGCGCTTATAGATGAAGTATCCGAAGCCGATAAAGAATTCCAGTTTCAGCGTACGGAGAGGGAAGAGAAACGAAGGGCCCTAGAGACGAGCACAAAGAAGTATATCGAACCGGGATCCGTACCGACCTCTGGTGTTACCGCTCTGGCACCGGGGAATTCCAACTTTTCTCATCAATCCGACTCCGAACTTGGTCGAGCAGATAGTACGGGCTCACAGCTAAAGACAGTCGCTACTAACAATTCAGCGCATTCTCCTTCCTTAAATCCTCCTATTCATATTGAGCCTCCCACAGGATCATTATCTGCACTATCAGGATCAAATCGATTCAAAGGCATTCGGGACTTAGAGGATCGCGATTCTTCCAGTCCGATGCACGATATGCAAGAAGCTCAACATCGAAAGGAGGGGCTTTTGTGGGCGTTATCCCGCCCAGGCTCTCACATAGATCCCAAAGGGATTAACAAACAAGCTTGGCATAAGTAAGATTATCATGTTAACCCACAATCACCGTCGAACCCCAGTTATTTTGTACAATTTCGGTGTTGATTGGACACCAAAGCTTTGTTTTATAATATGTAAAACGATAACTAATTGCCATGTGGCAGGTTTTGGATCGTCCTTGACCAAGGGAAGCTTTCAGAGTACAGCAATTGGAAACAAAAGCTGGACTTGCACATGGAGCCAATCGATCTACGGATGGCATCCGTTCGAGAAGCGCGTAATGCCGAAAGAAGATTCTGCTTTGAGGTTATAACTCCCCAGTACAAGAGAATATATCAGGCGACGTCGGAGGAGGACATGAACGCCTGGATTATTGCTATCAACAACGCATTGCAAAGCGCTGTGGAAGGCAGAAGCCCTCCACCTGTTACTCTTCAACAGCCAATAACTGATGGAGCCATTCGTCGTGGTATTGGCTCCGTTCTGTCCGGGAAAGGGTCCCACTCCTCTCAGCAGGCACACTACAATCCTCCTGTTTCCGGCGTGAATCGTCGAACCACAGTTGGCGCCCGACCCTGTTACGTTCGGGGCGATAACAATAATTACGAGGAGAATCCGTCGAAACTTTTACAAACAGTCCGTGAAGCTGACCAAGGCAATTGTTGGTGTGCGGATTGCGGGTCGCTGTCTAAAGTTGAATGGGTGTCAATCAATCTTGGGATAGTTCTCTGTATTGAATGCAGTGGGATTCATCGGTCATTGGGCACCCATATCTCAAAGATCCGCTCACTTACCCTTGACATTCATTCATTCTCCAATGACATTGTCGAGATACTCCTTCAAGTTGGAAATCGTGTTAGCAATATGGTTTGGGAATCTCGACTGGATCCCTCACTCAAGCCTACCGCTCAATCAACTAGAGAACAACGTTTAAAGTTCATTACGGCAAAGTATAGCGAAAGGGCGTATCTTCAGCCTTTATCCGCTACCCTCTCTCGTTACGCTACAGCAGAAGAAACACTTCTGGCTTCTATCAAAAGAAATGACATACAAGGTGTGTTATATGCAATCGCCCTTCGCGCCAATCTCAATGTCACCGACCTGTCTCGGGGTACCCATGCAGTGTTCCTGGCGCTTGCAGCTGCGGATCCTGCCTTTCCCGCTTCGTCAGGGCAGGCAACAGCCATGCCTTCGGGATCCACCGCAGTACCGCCTTCAGCTGAAAAACAAATACCATTTCCCATTGCGGAATTGCTTGTACAAAATGGAGCAGAGATTCCATCTGAAATGCCATCCATCCCTTTATCACCCGCAGCTCAGCTATATATAAACCAAAGGACAGCCAAAATAAGTGGAAGCTTTATTGTCCAACCAAGAGCGCTTGCTTCGTCAATGGGGGATCAGGGAACTGACATAACTTGCGCTCTGCCCTTGATTCACAATAGTGGCAAGCCCTCGTCCAACGGAGAGAACATTTCAACGACGTCACCTGCTTCCCACCCACTTACCGGCCTCGACAACAAGGAGAGAGAGAGGTTGCAGAAGCGAGGCAGTGCTGGAGCTCGATTTGCAGGAAAGGTGGCCTCATTGGGATCCGATCGATAGGCCCCGCGAATTCCATTTCCAGCCATTGATTGATTCCCGCCGTTGGCTTGTCAGGGTTCCACTTAGCTTCTCCGCTTGATGATGATGATGATGATGATGGAGATTGGAGTCTAGCAGGTGTTCTTTCAACGCGATTAAGCCAGTGTTGTTTCTTTGTTGTATGGGGAATTCGGAGGTGTGAAACCGTTCTTAAAGAGGAATAACAGTTAGGGGATGTATATATATATATGTCTATATATACCTCAGGGGGCGGGCAACTGCGTCAAGCAACTGTTACTCTACTCGCTTTCCTTTTTCTCGATTCTTTTTTGGCATTTTGCAACCTAATTCCCCAAATGTTCCAATTCAATTTCTTGCTATGGCAACTCCACTTAGTGTTGTCGAATAATGCCTCATTGTTACTCTACATTTTTATTTTTTCTGGGATTGCCGAGATATTTTGGATTATTTTCTATACCTCACTTTTCTACTTGGTCGGAAGTTTCCCTTTTGCATGTTTGATTTTGCATGATACCTCGATGATACTTAATGATAATATGATATGATTATGGCAATGTGGACTTTGGTAGAAGTGTTGTTCTTTGGCGTTTGGTGCATAAAACAGGTAGGGCGTCTGGTTACCCTCTGTCTATGCCTGTTTGGCAGCAGAAAAATTTGACCAGAGGCAGGGGGTTTAAGCCCTTAATCCACATGGCCGTGTCATGTATGTACTGTGCATTCAATCCAGAAGAGTAGGTGTTTCATCCCTGCCGCCTACACAGCGCCTGTCCAAGCTCCTGACCGCGGTATAGTTACAAGCTGCAAGACCCGATATACGGTGTATCATCCACAATTCTCCCTGTCCATGTTACAGAAGTTTGGACGTCCAGCGAGCCAGCGCTTTGCTCCGCTGTCCTCGAGTGAACTGCCGTGTACAGAGTATGCCAGGGTCATATGTAAGTTAGAGGCGGACATGCGGGTAGCGTCTTGTCCTGCAGGCAGAACCAAGATTGACCTACCAGTCAGCTCGTAGATGATCCTTCTGCCACTCACCAGCCACCAGCCATCCCGTGTGCATAAACTTGGATTTCTCTTGGTTCCCTGTTACTTGCCTCCTTGCGCCTGGCTTCGAAAATAAAGAATCATAACAGGGGATGTTGCGAACTGGATTCCCTCGCCACTCTCCCGGCACGATTAGCATTGTCCCTTTTGCTCCACATTGCCAGCACTGGAATAATCCCCACCGGAAAAAGCGCCAATAGAGCATTTACCGTACATGTACAGAGAACAGTGCATTATGATTGCATATATTGTCAAGCAGGGTTCGAGCAAGACCCGTTTCAATTCACGGATCCTTCCGAATGTTGCGCAGGGCTATCCTCAGCGGGGAGCAAAAGTCAACAATAATGATAAATTTTATGAGTTGACGAGAGCCTTCGCATGGATGATTGCAAATTATCCATCCAGAGCTCCAGCTCTGCAGGGTCTAGGCAAGTCAGTGACGCTGCTCATTTATGGCCAACGCTCTTTTTTGATCCAAGTTCTCCTGCCAAATGTTGGGTAGCCGGATCCTGCTTTTGGGCCAAACAGCCTTTGGTTTCTATCCTTCTTCTACGCATGGTCCCCTCTCCTTTAGCTTTCTCTTCTTTCTCTTACTCTCGGTCCACTATCTTGTCACAATCCCCGTCATTTTACGAGGGCCACTCGGCTATCTCAATATCTCTGGACCCTTGCAATAACGCATTTCCGCTAGAGCTTTCAATTTTGGGCCACCTTCAGAGGCAGACAAGAAATAGTTGCCTCTTTTCCCTCACAACTTTGTGTACATTTGTACCTCGTCCATAAAACCAGGCATATTTTCGGCAGAAGAGCGGTCCCAGAAGCAGACGTCCGAGGGTTTTGGATGCGCCAAGTAAGTGAGTTAAGAATGGGTAACTATCCGTCGAAGCTCCTCAGGGCTTATCCAAGCGAGAGACCAACCGACTGGAGTTTCTGTTGACGAAAACCGTTTTATTCCACCAGGGCCATAGGGATGCCGCAACCTTCCACTGTTCGGAGTGGAGCGGACAGCGAACGACCTCCTCCCGGGTATATTGCAGTTGGGATGCCGACATCTAACATTGTCCGTTTACCTGTTCAGCACCCTTACTATCATATACAACCAGCATTTACACAATTTTCCGTGCCGTTTCATATTCCAGGACATCCACATATCCGGCACGATACCTGGAATTGTCGCCGATATGATTCAACTTTCAATTATCCCGCAATGCCCGGCACCTTAGCTAACGAAACACAATCCTCTACGCAAGCCGTTTTGTATCACACCACTTTACCCTCGATTCCCCAGCCAACATACTATGGAGCACTCTTTCATCAAATGCCAAAATTGCAGCATTTCCCGCCGCAACCTATGGCCTATGACAACCAACAAGCCCCAATTCGCGTGCACGTACGGAATAACAGCAATATAGAGACTTCCAGCTACCCTCGTATTACGCATGAACAGCCGTACCACACGCTTCCGTCGAGGCCGACGGAATCGTCGACCTCATGTTATACTATTGTCGATGGCTCGGGGCTAACCAATCGTTCTGGAAATGCCCTCGAGACACGTGGAAACGGAGCAGGTCAGTTATGTATCCTATTTTAATTTATTTACAGTTTACAGGAATGTGATTAAAATATCAATCTCACGGTTGAGTGTTACTTATATTCAATACCCAGAGGCCAATGCACATGTACAACCACCCGTTTTCCTCCCCGAGCCACCAACTCCCAGAGGGCCACCGAGGAAGCCAAAGCAATCCGGGTTCGCATTATGGGTTGGAAATCTCCCATCTCGTGCCAACATTGTTGATCTCAAGGACCATTTTTCTCAGGGTGCTACTAAAGAAATCGAAAGCGTATTTCTGATCTCAAACAGCAAATGTGCATTTGTGAATTATAGGACAGAAGCAGCCTGCGTCTCAGCAGTGGCAAGATTCCATGATTCAAGGTTCCAGGGCATTAAATTGGTTTGCAGGATGCGTAGGGGCACTTCCGAGCTTAAAAATAGAGTAACATTATCACCACCACTTCCGGCGGCTTCAGGTACTACTGATAGCAATGAGATTGATGACTCACATGCTGAACTTGTTCCGAACAATTCCTCCAAGGATAGCAGTTCCCAACGCCCAGCTGTGAAGTATTGTGAACGATATTTTATAGTGAAAAGCCTGACTATTGAAGATCTTGAACGCAGCAGGGTGAGTGGGGTGTGGGCCACACAGAGACATAACGAGGCATTTCTGAACCATGCGTATGAGGTGGGAAAACTACTCTACTATCCATATGGAATGAATTGCCACTGCGAAAGCAGTCGGATGCGAATGAGAGTCATGAATATTGATATTTCCTGCAAACCCAAAATTGGTGTTCCTGACTGACTTAATTCTTTCATTTTCCTGGGAGCAGACTTCGGAGACTGTATATTTGATATTCTCCGCCAATAAATCTGGAGAATACTTTGGCTATGGCAAGATGGCCTCTCCCGTCTCCACTGGCGAGCAAAGCATCTCCGACGGGACCCCTCAGAGAATCGATTCCACGCCATCATCCGAATTTCTGATAGTCACGGATACGCCGCGCACGGAAACGGCTCCAGCGGGCTCTGTGGTGGACGACCCAACTCGGGGTACGATATTCTGGGAAATCGATCGCATTGACGAGGTAGGTTTGGGAAAGACGGGTGGGTCTGGACAGATAGAGGACGAAGGCACGGCGGACGACAGTCAGTCCTTTGGTAGGCCATTCAATGTGGACTGGTTGTGCTGGCGACGTCTCCCATTCCACCATACAAGAGGTCTCCGGAACCCTTGGAACGCGAACAAGGAGGTGAAAATCGCCAGAGATGGGACGGAGATCGAGCCAGGTGTGGGGAGAAGATTGATTAGACTATTCGACCTCATGGAGTGAATGGGAAACTGATTTCGGGGCCGGAAGGCATTTTCAGGCGTTTCTCAAGGGGCGAATATATATATATTCATATTGATAGTATTGATATTCATGGGCGGAAACATAACAGTGCGCTACATACGATATATGATATTCGAGAAATAGGATATGGCGCATGTCATACATGTATGTATGTGTGTGTGTGTGTGTGTGTGTGTGTGTGTGTGTATGACTAAATTGGCAGTAGATGTGTTATGGACCTTGCGAGATTCGAATTTTTCTGTTCATATCTTGGAATATTCCAATTGAACGTACTCGAAATATATTCCAACGTAATTCCCACAAGTATGTATATGTACAGTACATGTACAGTACATACATGCACATACAACACATTTCTACGACAGGGAGGGAGACGGTAGTGGCATCGCTCTGTAGAGAGCTCTGGATTGGTTCTAATGGTGGTGATGCTGGATTGATATAACATCCAGCATCGATGGTGAAAGAAAAGGAGATTTCATGTTATAACATCCATCATGCTATCTCGTCCTGGAGATCAGCTAGCAAACATCGAGTTGCAAAGTCCAGCAGCACCTGCATCTATCCCGTATATATCATATCTCATATCATATAATAACTATAACTAACTAGTGGTTAATGAACTTATGCAAGATATTATATAAATCAAAGCGGGATGTACCGTACATGTAATACATGTAATAGGCTGTTTCCGAAGTTACGCCGTTTGCGGCCGCCAGACATGAGCATTCCCCCGGAGTTACCCCGGACGTACCCCGGATTACCCCACAATACGTCACTGGCCACCGGGGGCGGGGCTGCACGGCTCATCCGTGGGCGTAACGTAATGTAATAATTAACGACTTTTACTTTAACGCCAACTTCTTCGATCTTCAACTTCTTCATCTTCAACTTGATCTTCTCCAACCTCATCTTCCAACCTCATCTTCCAACCTCATCTTCCAACCTCATCTTCCAACCTCATCTTCCAACCTCATCGCTGTCTCTTCTTCTTGTCTTCTTCCCCTCTTCTTTCTCCTCCTCGTCTTCTGCTCCTGCTCCTGCTCCTGCTCCTGCTCCTGCTTCTTCTCCTTCTATTCAATCCTTCTTCACATCAAGTATTCAACTTTGCATTGTCGGGCCCCCTCGTTTTGTTTAATTCGTGCCTCCTGTAGCCCTCCAAGTTCGGGTTTTCCTTCGGCCATTATTGCTTGCTTGCCAGCTAGGACCTTTCACCCCCCAGCCCGGAACCCCTCCTGCAAGCTACCTCGACACGGCTGGCTCCAGTCGACCACCGTCCGGCGTGCATTGTGCAGTGTCCAGCATCTGCTGTCTGCTGGCTGCTGTCTTGACACATCATTCCTTAAATTAAGACTGTTGGGGCTTCACAACAGCCCATCTCGTCTCCG